TACCCAGGGCTCCGGGGTTCATATCCAGGGCTCTTGGGTTCATATCCAGGGCTTTGGGGCTCATACCTAGGGCTTTGGGGTTCAAACTCAGGGCTCTGAGAATCTGATTCAGGGCTTCTGGGTGCAAACTCAGGGCTTGGGGGTACAAAACCAGGGCTTCGGGACTCAAAACCTGGACTCTCAGGCTCAAACCTGGGGCTTTGGGGTTCAAACTCTGGGCTTTGTAGCCCAAACCCAGGGCTCTGGGGTTCAAGCCCAAAAGGTATCTCTTCCACCTCATAGTCCCCAGTGCCTTCTTGCTGAGAAATTTCCTCTTCCTCATTCTCACTCATGTTGCCTGCAGGATCAGAGAATTACAGAAAACCCAGATTGTGTGGGGCCTGGAAGGTCACTGGGTCCCACCATTAGTTGCCACAAACCTTTCCCTCCTCCTCAAGCAGGGTCGCTGGCCCTCGGGCAAGTGCTGAAATTCCCACCTCCCCCTCAGCAAACCCAGGACACCGGGTCCTCGCCCCCGCCCCCTCCAAGTCCCAGGTGTCCAAGCCCCCGCTCTCTTCCCCTCCCACCCACTACAACCCCCTCTCCCGCTCCCAGTCACGCTCCTCGGAGGGGCGCTCCCTCCCTCACCTTTGAGAGACCCTTCGGGGCTCCCCATTTCGTCAGGACTTTGCACATCCCGGGGCTCGAGGCCCCACGGCGACGCCTCCCGTTCCATCCCCGCCGGCTCCCAGTGCGGCGGCAGTGGCGATGGCGGACGATCCTGCGACCCGGTCTGAGTGCCCCGAGACCCGGGCCCTCGCCGCCCGCCCGCTTAGCGCCACCCAGGGGACCCGGCTGTCCAGCCCCGGCCCCTGAGGCCGGACGTCTTGACCCTGGGCCTCTCCGGCCCGTTGGGCCCCTCCCCTATCCGCGGCCCCGCCCCCACCCACAAGGTCTCGGCTTGCCCTGGGGTCCTCACAGGCCCCCACACGTCGTGACCTCGGAGATGAGAGACTTCACAACTCCCCTTGCCGCCCCCGGATACCGCTCCCCGCCCGGGACCCCGACGTCTGGCCTCCCAGCCCCCGGGTGGGCTGCGGCTGGCCGTCCCCCTCCCTCCGCACAGGAAGTGTCCGTCCGCGGCCAGTTTCCCCCGCTGGCTAGCGCCGCGGCCTCTCTAGGAGCGACTGGAGGTGGAAACTCGTTGGCATTAACCCTGGGCTGGATGGCCCCGGCGTCGAGGTAGGCGAGGACTGGGCGCCCTGGAGCCGGCGGGAGAAGCTGGGGCAGTTTGTATGCCTATGTCCTAGGTCCTGTCCTCCCGGGGGCCTATACGTCCGTCTCCCGGCCCTGCGTCCGTCAGTGCCTGTGGCCAAGGGCGAGGCAACAAGCGAGACCAAGGTCAGCGAGAAGGAGCGACGCTTCCCGGTGCCAGCGGGGGCGGTGTCTAGCTCCCCTCCCCTCCCGGGCCTTGGGGTCAGCTCTGGCCGCGCCTCGGGACCCCACCCCGCCCCTTAGGCTCATCGAGGCTCCTGAGTCTCGAACCCCCCACCTCGAACTCCACTCCCCCACACCGGCGCGCCCACCCCCAGTCCTCCTGGCCCCCTCGGCTCGCTGTTTCTCCTAATCTCACCCTTCCCCCTTCTGGGCGGGCTAGGATCGTTGCCAAGGAAACAGGCCTGCCTCCAGTTTCCAGAGGCACCGCCCCTCCCTCCCAGGGAACTCACCGATTGGTCGGTGCAGCGCGTGCTTTCACCGTCCCGCCTCTTCCCACTACACCAACTGCTAGGCGTTAATGGTCGCCAGGGAACGCGAGGCACCTTTCTGATTGGTTGCAGGGTGCGCAGGCCGGTTCCACCTCTTCTGTGCTTCAGAAGTGCTAGCGGGAGGAGTGGGAGGGACGTCCCTGGCGTCTCCCTTCTTGTCGAGCCTGTGCTTTCAGACATTTTCCCGCCCTCATTTACCCTTCATTAGGTTTTATCTTTCTGAAGAATGAAAGACAAGGCATCCGAGGAAGACACCCTTGACTCCCCAGTCTCTTCTCGCACTCTCTTTCCCAGCACTTTCCTTCTTCCCACGGGTTCCAGGTGCCGAAGTGGCCAGTCGGGGGGGATCCTGCCGCAGAAAGAAGGTTGTTTCCTCTTCTGTTACCCTGCCTCTCCCCTCCACCTTCCCCAAAGACTGAGTTTAACTCAATCTCTTGGAGCCTTTGTCCCTGGTTCCTGGATTTTCTCAGGAGTGGAAGTGGATAGGAGAGAACCGCTCTCCAGTCCTGTCTGACTTGGATAGAGGCTTGTAGAGGAAGGGAACCTGAGAAACACTGCCCTAGGTGCAGCTTTGAATCAAAGGAAAAGTGACCCTGGAAAGACAATTTAATAGGATCCAGTTCTTGTCCTTCTACTACCCTTGCTGCTGAAACTAGTTGGTAGTGTTCTTTCTTCTTTTTTTTTCCCGGTACGCGGGCCTCTCACTGTTGTGGCCTCTCCCATTGCGGAGCACAGGCTCCGGACGCGCAGGCCCAGCGACCATGGCTCACGGGTCCCGCCGCTCCGCGGCATGTGTGATCCTCCCGGACCGGGGCACGAACCCGTGTCCCCTGCATCGGCAGGTGGACTCTCAACCACTGCGCCACCAGGGAAGCCCTGGTAGTGTTCTTGACAATTAATGAACCAAATTCTCTCTGTGGGAGTGATGCAGGAACCATAGATTGTGTTTTCTTGTTGCCTTACCAGACAAAGGAAAGGAGGAAACTACTTAGGAGGAAAGATGGCATCTTCCATTCTCCTGAAAGGAGATGAGAACAAGAATTTGGAGAATCCCAAAGGAGAAAAGGCTGGAGAGACGCGATCTCAGTTCTCAGTAGAGGCTTACAGACAGAATCACAGATAGAGATACCTTCCTACAAATAAAGCAGGAGTCCTTTTCTGCCCTCCAGAGGATCAGCTTCCAGCTCCATGCCTCTCTCCCATCCCACTGTCTGTCCTAAAACCTTCATGAAGAAGGTCCAGCACTAGAGGGCCCACACAGGCAGAACACCCTACAAGTGCAGTGATTATGGGAAGAGCTGGACCTGGGCCACCTCCTGGTCATCCCCAAAGCACACAAATGAGAGACAAAAGTCTCCTTCATGAGACACTTTTCTCTGACCTCCTACCTGCTTACCCACCAGAAAATTCCCACAGGAGAGCAGCCGTCCCCTGCAAAGTATGTGGCGAGTCCTCCAGCCCCAGCTCTGACATGGTCCCTGCCTGCACTCTTCATAGCGTGGGCCACAAGCCCCACGAATAGCAGAAGTTGGGCCAGGGCTTCAGTCTGCTCTGGCACCAGTATTTCCATGTGGAAATTCAGTCTCACTAGTACCTGGCTGACTTCCAGGCAGCCTCCTCCAGCACCTATCCTCTCTATGCAATGGACCTTCGAGAGGCAGCCAGCCTCTGCCGGCCGCATGCCCATAGCAGGGATAGGCTCTAAGCACAGGGAAGACTCTGATGAGGGTTCCAACTTGACCAAGTGCATGTCCTGAGTTGGGCAGCCACTTTGTCCACAGCATCATCCCTCAATGTGCAGCAGCACTGGGGCAGTGTGCAGCCACAGTTCATGGTCCAACCAACTTGGCCCACACCCAAGAGAGTCCTGACAAAGGCTCTGTGTGAGAGGGGCTTCTGTGTGATCTGCTTCCTCCCTGCATGCAAAGGACAAGCCCTCTAAGAGGGCTTCTGTCAGATGCTACAAGAGATGCCCAGGTATATTCAAGAAGCTTTGAGGTACCCAGAAAGAGACCAATCATGACACAGGCCCCTTTGCGAAGAACAAAGGAAATGGGAGTCTTTGTGTATGGCGAAGTCATCAGCTGGCCTGACACATTTGGAACAGGCCCTGACACCAACCCCTACTCTTGTAACGCTAAGAGCAGCTAGAAAATAACATTTTTACGTTCAGAGCAGTGGTTCTCTCAGACTTCAGCAGCCATAAGATTCCATTGCTGGAGATACAATAGACTAGGGACAGGGCCCAGGGAGCTAGCTGCATTTTGAAGAGATAACTGCATGTGATTCTGTGGCAGAAAGGCCTTACTTTGAAAAATATTGGCCTAGAGCAGGTTTTAGCTTCTGAGTCATAAACGTCTCTGCATGCACTGTTCCTAGAAAGATACACATAAACAAATATTCCCCCCAAATTTAGGGGTCTTTGGAGCTCAGATCAATACTTATCCTTTACATGGCTTGGACAAACTAGGAAGGGGCCATGTGGTCATGGCCTTGACCTCTCACTCTGGCCATGTGGATGGGGCTCATGTTTTCACTGGTGCAGACAAGCATTTCTCCTGATGCACCAATGAAGCCCTAGGAAAACCCTCTTCCTGGCTTAAATTGCTTCAAGGGCTGAGCCTCAAAAACCTGTGGTAGTGGAGAGAAAAGGGAGCCTTACCTTTAGGGGGAGTATCTGTGCCAAGGAGTGAGGAGCCAAGAAGGGGGTGAGGCTGAGGCTTAAGCGTTCCATGATACTCAAATATTAAGTGGGGGGGAAACTGGGTCACGAGGGCAGGAAGCAGAGGAGTTGGTTCTGGTTTGGGGGCCCTACGCAAGTCTTGAAAACTTAAGCGCACTCAGAGAAAGTCGTAATTATACCTTTAATTGGCAAGCTCAGACAGGGTCCAGATCTGGCTTTGAGGCTGACCTGAGAAGTGGTATTGCAGGCTGAGTTTCCCCCAGGCAGTGCTGAGGGGCAGGGGAAGGATGGGTTGGACACTGGCTTCTCTAGGGGAATAAAAGCTGGTACAAAGGTAGCTACTACTGCCAAGGTGCCTCTCCTCACTTCCAAGGTGCCTCTCCTTAACTCCCACATTCCCCCTGTGACAGGTGGCATATGAGCCAATCCTCCTGGTGAAGTTTAGTCTAAGAGAGATCTTGGTGGGGTCAGATTGGAAGATTAGGTTGGAATCAAGTCAGTCCATCACTTTACCTTAAGTGTCTTTTCCCCAAGTTTTGTACCTCTTCCTATAGAAGTTTCTTTAGGTTGACAAATCTGGTTTCTTCCTAAGGCCAGACACAGGCTGAGTTCTCAGAAGGGAAGTGCACACAGGCCACCGAGGACATAAGTCTTTGCTACTTCTACTTGAGGGGAAGGGTCATCCTGACCAGAGGCAAGAAAGGGTCTGCACATGGCTGGCTGCTTCCATCACCTGGACAAGGCTGGACTCTGACCACAAAGGAATGAGTGGTAGATGGATGATGGAGTCACAGGGTGATGGGGGAGGGATTCTGTGCAGAGCTTGGGAATATAGAATAGTACAGTTCCCTCTGGCCACTAACCCCAAATGTTCCTGGCCTTGTCCCCCTTTGCTGGTGATGGAGGTCCTGAAGAGAGTGAAGATGCGAGCTTTGCTTTTGTTGGCCCTGGAACTCTCATCTAAGGCTGCTTTCTCCCTTGCCTTGTTGGCTATGTGGCTGTTTTGTCACTCATCTTGTACCTGGGCTTCACTAACACTGGGCTGCTCTGTCCCTAGTCTAGGTCAGTGCCTGGGTGTCATCTCAGGGAGGGGGGAGATGCTTCCAGAACCCTGGCTGAGACACTGACAAGGAACTCAGGAGTGGTATGGTAAAGACAGCAGGAAACAAAGAATCCTAGCATCTCACTCTGTGTGTGACCTTGGACAGGTTGCTCAGCTTTCCCCAGTCTCAGTGTCCCCAAATGCAAAAGGATGGAAAAGCTAAGATCTCTTCCAGTTCAAAAATGTGATGAGGCCCTCCTGGCTGGGCCTAGAATAGCAAAGCCTGAGCCATAGGGCTCTCCGAGGGAGGCCCAAGGAGTACTAGAGGGGTCTCTCAGGCCCCTGCCCTTCAAAAACAGGAAGTGCAGGTCAGCTGAGTGGTGCTGAGGTGGAGACACCACTCCATTTGGGGCAAAACATTCAGTCCTGACTGCCTCTTCCTGATGGGCTGTCCTCTCCAAGCAAGATGCTTCCTTCCATATGCAATTATGAGGGTGAAATGAGTGGATGGACAAGACAGTACTTTGTAAACCATAAAATGCAATACGAGCCAAGATCTAACATAAAGCCTCCTTTTACTTCTCTCCTGCCACCCTTTTACAAATATGCTCTCTACCTGAATCCCTGATTCAAGAACAATTGAATGCTGTAGACTACAGTTTGCAAACTCAAATGACTACAGGAACCCAACAGGTCATGGAAATGAGTAGAAAAATGCCAGATGGAGAGGGCCTGCTTTGCCAGAGATGTTGGCGAGCCATGATGAGTGCCAGCTGACACTGGTCAGGAGGTGACAAGGAGTGGCAGGCATGCTGAACTGGAGAGCCTGGTCTCCATCCAAAGGGGCAACTGCCCCTCAGCTCCCACCAATTGTGGTTTTGTGGGAGCTCAGGTGGAGTTGCCAAATCTTCGGATTTTTCAAGGGAGGCCAGAAACCTGGTTTTCTGTGTGAAATATCCTGATTTTTAAATCTTAACCAATAATTCATAACATTTAAAAATGCTGGCTGGGCTAAAAAAAAAAAAATTAAAGGCTGCTACAGACCACATTCAGTACCCAGCCATCAGTTTTTAACTTCTGCAGTAAAGTCAGTGGGTAAAACAAAGTTCTCCACCTCAATCCTCTTAGAAACAGCCTTTTCTTCCCCACAGTGAAAGTCTAGTGGGGGTTCTAACCTCAGCCCTAACTCAGCAAAGGGGGCTTCTAGAGTCTGGGACAGTAGGGAACAAGGTATCAGCAGATGAAGCTCGTGAGGGCCTAAGATGAAACAGTCCTCCTCCCCCAGGTCCAACTCTGACTGGGAATTCTGTGGCCTCCCCGGGGCTGCCAGAGTTTCAGGCCCCTGAGGCCACCCTGGGCCTCAAACAATGTCTAGATCTTCACCCTTTGCCTTGTCACTGTTGAGGCCATCACTCACACTCCTGGAATATCTCTGGGTAGTGCTGGAAGCCCACGGGTGGGTCCAGGTCCCCTCGGCCAGAGGCCAGGGGTACAGGCAACCCACTGGCACCCCGGCCCCTGCGCCGCCCCGCCCCGGGCCGATGGACCCACTGGTGCTTGGCCATGGCTGACTTCTGGCCGAAGCACCTGCCGCATTGCGGGCAGGCGTAGGGGCGCTCGCCACTGTGGGTGCGCCGGTGGGCTGCCATCTCGGAGCTCTGCCGGAAGCAGCGCCCGCAATCTGGGCATGGATAGGGCTTCTCGCCCGTGTGGGTGCGCACGTGGCGCCGGAGGTCTGAGGCGTGGGCGAAGGCGCGGCCACAGTCGGGGCACGGGAAGGGGGTCTCGCCGCTATGGACCCGCTGGTGCTGGTACAGGGCGGAGCTCTGGCTGAAGCAGCGGCCGCAGTCAGCACAGCTGTAGGGCTTCTCGCCCGTGTGGACCCGGAGGTGGGTGGTGAGGGCGGAGCGCTGGGTGAAGGCCCGGTCACAGTCTGGGCAGCGGTGGGGCCGCTCCCCTCGGTGGATGGCCCGGTGCTTGCTCAGAGAGGAGGCCTGGCTGAAGCCCTTGCCACAGTCAGGGCAACTGAAGGGCTTCTCGCCCGTGTGGGTGTACAGATGCTCCACCAGGGTGGACCGCCAAGCGAAACTCTTCCCGCACATGTAGCAACCGTGCCTCTGGTCTGCCCTGGGGACCGGGGGATGGGCACAGAGTGATGGGCGACCCCGGCGAGGCACCTTCGATGGCTGCTCCCAACCATAAGAAAACCCAGCAGAAAAGGGTTTGAGAGCCGTCAGCCCGGGAGGCTGAGCGTCCACAGAAAGGATCTTCCCCAGTGCCTCGGTCCCTTCTCTTTGTCCTTTCTCTTCCTTGTCTCTGGAACCTGCTGGGAGATAAGGGGAGAGCTCAGACCCTGGCTTATCCTGGTCCCTGATTCCCACAGCCCACATGGGGACAGAGAAGCCTCTTAGATACAAGCACCTTCTGGACCCACAGCTGCCTCTGGGCCTCAGCTTGGTACAGGCAGGGAAGCTAGGAGTGACACATTTTCCTCAGCTGCACAGGATGGTAAGAAAAGCTGCAGAGACAGAGAGAGAGGGAAGGAACAGAGGCACAGTACATTCTACCTCAGGGCTGGGGAAATGAAGGTCAGAGGGATAACAATTTAGCTTGATCACGGAGGATGAGTGGATGGTAAGGATGCAGCACAAAGAGAGGCATGAAGGTGACTGGCATTGACAAGTTCAGAGGGGCTGGGCACTGTGCAACAGGTGGACAGGATAAGTGGAGGAAGAAAGCCGTGCAAGCCAAGAGAAAGGAGGCTGCTACAAAAATACAACAAAAAGGAAGTAAACTAAAACAGAGGAGGTGGCAGAGGAGCTAGAGAGCAGGCAAACAGCAGACGAGGTGACGCGGAGCTCCAAGGAGCTTAGAGACCAACTAGATGTGAGGGGCTCAGATACCGCGGAGCTGGGAGTGGAGAGGCAGGTATGCCTGGGTCACACTCACAGCCCCTTTCTAGGCTGAATCCAGAGCTAGGCAGGGACCAGGCATAACAACCTTAGCTGGGAAAGCAATTCAGGGAGGAAACTGATGAGCAGGTAAGGAGTTGGCAGAGGGTAGCAGGATGGGTCAGACCCAGAGGAAGTCCCCACGGGACAAAGTACCCACTACTTCACCTGTGTCTGCTTCTCTAAGACACTCTCCCGTCTCAGGATCCCGGGCATCTGGACCCCACAGTTCGGCCTCTTCCTCCACCCAGGAGATGAGGGCTGGCTTGGTGCCTCGGAAGCCTAGGGGAGAAGAACGCAAAGCCCACGCTGCGGGGGAAGCCGCCGCCCAGGGTCGCGACTTTCCAGGGCCTCCCACTCCACGTGCAGGACCCAGAGGTTGGGCGGGGTGGACGGGGTTGTGGGCGCAGGCGAGCAGGTGGAGCCTCACCGAGCGCGCCCAGGTGGCCGTAGGTCTCCCGCATCACGTCCCGGTACAGGGCCCTCTGCGCGGGCCGCAGACACCCCCACTCCTCCGGGGAGAAGTACACGGCCACGTCCGCGAAGCTCAGGGACTCGGGTGTCCCCCACTGGCGCCCGGCCCCGTTAGGTTCCCGCGCGGGGAGCGGGGCCGGGGGCGGCGCCATCGTAAGTGCCACCCCGGCGGCGGGCCAGCGCCAACACTACCCGCCGGGGTCCGCGGAGCCTCCGCGATCCAGAACGCTCCGTGGCCCGGCCCGAGGGTCGGGGCGCCGTCGTGAGGCCGGGAGACCAGGGACGGCCCCTCGAGGGCCCACGGGGAAGGCTGAACACTAAGAGCGGGTGGCTGAAGGTGCACCGAGAACCAGAACTGGAAGATGCCTTCCTAAGAGATGGCGGCAACGCGGCCCCGCGAACTTCGCTCCCGCGCCATCGTGCCCAGATGACGCCGCCCCGGTGTCTCCAGGTGGCTTTGTCTTCGAGCCCTCAGCCAACATGGCTGCGGCGGCTACAGGCGCCCGAGGAGGCGCTGCCACCAGCCCGGAGGCGGCGTTCCCCAGAGCTTGGCGCCCGGCCCCGGAGGCGCGGCGGCCCGGCTTCCCCGCCGGGTCCCCGCGCCCGTCGCGCTGGAGGCGCAGCCGCGGCCCCGCCCAGGTTTGCAACAGCGACCTCCAGCCCAGACCCCAGGCCGCTCCGCGCTGTTAATTCAGACGTTCAATTTCGTCGCTGGCCATCACTGGGTGACAGCAGGCTTCCCCCAATGTTGAGGGTAAAAAAAAAAATGGAGCGGGTAAAAGAACCTTCTCTACTGGAAGCTTGATAAGCCTGAAATTATGGGAGCTTCTGTTTCAGGAGATCGTGGGGGCGACTGGGAAAGAGTAGGGTGAGGTCTAAAAAGGTCGGAAGGACCCTCTTTCTGTAAGCTTACGCTCCCCCGACATGCCCTACAGGACGTCTCCCGAACATCTCTTTACCTCTAGCTCAAGCTTGGCTCCTGAGCTCCTGATCACAGAGCCACCTGCCACCTTGCCCCGGCATGGATGGCCCACAAGCACCTCGGACTCTGCGTGGCTCAAACTGAACTCATCCCTTTCTTCCCATAACCTGCCCCTCCTGGGGTCTTTGTCTTAGCAAATGGCACCAACTCTCTCCATCATTTCTACCTCCAAACCCTCTCTCTCACCGGACACATTTATTGACTGTCTAGTCTGTGCTTCCCACAAGCCTTCATAAATACCCTGCCCTAAGAAGCCTTGATATTTTTCCTTTGGCCACTTAAATCAGTCTCAGCATTTCACACACTTCGTGGACATGCCCTTCACATCTTCAGCAGCTCTGGTGTCTGCTCTGGAGCTCTTGTCTGTTTGCCTCCTTCCAAAGGCCCCCCTGAGGCTTCCACCTGACATCCTGTACCCAGTGGCTGCTTCTCCCTAGGGGAGCTGGGCAAGTAAAGAGTTGATCTCAGCAGGAGGGAAGGGGAAGACTTAAAACTTGGGAGGGGTCAGCCTGGCCAAGGAGAGAGGCTTGTTGCAGGGTGGTCCGTGGAGCGTAAGGACTAAGGGTGCAGAGTTGCCCAGGGGCTCAACCCCAGCAAGTTCTCTTAGCCTCTCAAGCCCCCTGAAGGACACAAAAGAAATTAGAAATTTTCCATTAAGAGTAATGGCTTTTTGTCACCTGTCAGTGCCCATCCCTATCACACACTGGAAGAGCCCTGGGTAGTGCTGAAAGCTCGCAGAGGGGTCTGGACTCTCCTGGAGAAGAACCCTGAGCAGAGTCTGCACTCCTGGGTCAGACCCTGAGGGCCATGGTACCAAGCTGGTGGGTCTATTAGTGGCCTCTGGCTGAAGCACCTCCCACTGTGGGGACAGTAGTAGGCCTGCTTGCCTGTGTAAGTCAGCAAGTAGCATGAGAGGTACTGCACTAGCTGCAAGTAAAGGGTCCCTCTCCAGAGTGCACTGCGCCGGGACTTCCCTGGAGGTCCAGTGGTTGGGTCTCTGTGCTTCCACTGCAGCGGGTACAGGTTCGATCCCTGGTTGGGGAACTAGGATCCTGCAAGCTGCATGGTGTGGTCAAAGAAAACAACACAAAACAGAGCGCACTGGGCCAAGTTGAAGGTAAAGGTAAAGCATGACTGCACTTGGTGTGGGGATGAGGGTGTGGTGTGAGTGCCAGGTGTTGAAGCTGGGCACAGACTGAGGGCCTGGGAAAGTCCTGACTACAGGGAGCCTTGGCCACAGGCTCCAAGGCCACGTCAGTGTCTCTGACCCCAGAGCCTCACGACAACTCCCAGATAGACTTCTGCTCACCCCTTCCAAACGTATCATTTTTCTGAGTGAGTGCTGGGAAACAGCAGATTCAAAACTTACCATTTTTCCTGTTAACTCTCCAAGGCCTACGTATGTTCAGGTAATAGAATCAACCTTCACAATGACAGAAGCATTCAGATGGGTACCCAGCCCTGGAAGCCCCCTTCTACACTGTATTGGCCAGTTGAGGGCTCCCAAGTCAGGGACATTCCCACCCACTCCAGGGCCAACCAGAAGAGATACTCTCAACCAGAAGGGCAGCTGTTATAGGAACCAGGGACCTGGAAGACAGATGAACTGCCTCCATCCTAAACTTGAATTCACACACTGCCACTAACCTACGGTCTGGATGATTCATACAGTGTGACCTAATCATGTGACCACTTGGATGCCTCAAAGCCAATTAAGTGAGAAAGAGAAGGTCAAGATTGCAATCTCCAGTGGGTGTCATAAATTCAGGTCAGTGAAAATTAGTAATGCCAGCAGTAAAGAGCATATAGATGGTGTTTCTTGCTCAACAAACGTTTTCCCTTACAGTTGACACTGGGACATCACCTCCACTTCCCATCTTTCTGGCTTTCTCTCAGGCTTCCTCCTCCAGAGGATCCTGAGCACCTGTACCCCACAGCTGGGTCTCCTGCTCCACCCATTTGATGAGGGCTGGTTTGGGGTCTGGCAAAACTGGGCAAGAACCCTCATCATCCAATAAACAGTTCTTAAGACTACCTACGCATGCATTTAATGAAAATGTATTGGGCATCTCACGTGTGCCAGGCATTGTTCTAGATGTTCCAGGTATTAGAGACATTGGTGAACCAAGATAAAGTACCTGCTCTAAGAGAGATACCAGGTAGGAGCTTTGCTGGCACAGGTGCAGAGAGGACCTTTGGGCAGATTGTACTCAGGGCTACAGAGATGGACACAGAGCTGCAGCTTAGAGGAGACTTCCAGCACAGGGCAGAAGAGCTCCAGGAGGAATTTCATTTCTTTTCTTTCTTTCTTCCTTCCTTCCTCCCTCTCTCTCTTTTCTTTCTTTCTAATTTTTATTAGAGTATAGTTGATTTCCAATGTTGTGTTAGTTTCAGGTGTACAGTGAATCAGTTACACATATACATATATCCACTCTTTTTTAGATTCTTCTCCCATATAGGCCATTACAGAGTATTGAGTAGAGTTCCCTGTGCTATATACTAGGTCCTTATTAGTTATCTATTTTATATATAGTAGTGTATATATGTCAATCTCAATTTCCCAATTTATCCCTCCCCCCCAAGGAATTTCTTGAAGATGGCATTTGAGAAGGGCATTGAAGGGTGTTAGAGTTGGAGGTCAGTGTATAACACAGCCGAATAGCAAGAACAAAGGCTCATTAAGCTAGAAGCATGTCCAAAGAACAAAGATTCTACTTAGCTGCAGTCAAGGAGATGGCTTGTCTGTAGGGAAAGATCTGGTTTGAGTCCGTGGAGGTTAGTGTGCCATGCGCCTTTAAGGCCGGTACAGGTTCTGAACTTTTTTTAGAAGTTTTTGCAGTGTTGAAATCTAACCGGAGAGGGTCACTTATGAATTTAGGCTGATCTGGCGAGGATGCCGGGAAACAGAGTCCCTCTCTGTTGGAGTCAGGCTCAGTGGATTCAGGCACCTGGCCCTGTTCGTCCCACCCACCCGCTTCCCTTTTCAGAGATCCGGGACACTGGATCTCACCGAGCACGGTCAGGTTAACGTATGCCACCGCAGACATCCCCACTCCTCGGGGAAGAAATACAGGGCCACCTTCACTAAGCCCGTGGCCCTCAGCCTTCTCCCAGCTCCTTCCCCCCCGGCCTTCACCGGCACCTGCGCAGGGAGCCCAGAGCAGGGCCGGGGACGGAGTCTTGGGCTCACCCCCATATCCCCGGGTTGGGACGCTGGTGATTCGGCCTGCGGTGCTGGGCGGGCGTGGGTCCCTCCGGGCCCAGACGACCGGAAGTAGCTTTGGTTGGGGCCACTCTAGGATGGCGGGAAACGGCTCGTTACGCGAACTCGTTGGTCCCAGGGCCGGGAAATGAAGAAGCCCTCAGAAGAGATGGTGGCACTCTACCGTCCTTATACTTTAGCGAAAGGCATGTAACAGCTTCAGTGTCGGCCTGGCGTTGATGATCTGGTATACTCCCCCCTCGAGTTGTCTTCTCTTACTGTTCCGCTAGTGGCTTTGCAAGGGCCTGTTGCTCGTAGTTAAGATGGCCGCAGCCGCTTCGGCGCCCGCGCTCAGGTCGGGTGGGTGAAAGATGAGGCGCGGGTGCAGGCGCGGGTGCAGGCGCGGGTGCAGGCGCGGGTGCAGGCGCGGGTGAGGGAGGGCTGGCGGCGGCGAGGGGTTTGGGAGACGGGGACGCTGGGCTAGGAGTGGAGGGGCTGTCCGGCCAAATGTCCTCTTCCCAATCCCCGCAAGAAGGCCCACTCAGTGACCCGGTCATTAAAATATATTTTTTTATTATTGGCAAACTAATTCATTTATCAGGTTTTTGGGTTTTGTTTTTTCATTTACAAGGTACATAAGAATATTCAGTGAATGTCCTCTCCCCCAGCCCCCCACCATTCCTCTAATAGTTTCTTAAATATCCCTACAGTGATTGTGCCTTATAGAGATAGTCAGTCTGTTTGTCTATAGTACTTCCACACATTTACTAGCTCTTACTGAGGACACCTGGCCGAATGCCTCTCAGTCCCTTAGAGTTCAGTCATTTTATAGAAGGGAACTGAAACCCAGTTAGGACCCAAGGTCAGGAGGCCATTAGTGACTCAGGGTTTTCAGACTCCTAATGCGAGCCTTTCCACCGCCTCCTGGCGCTGCCTCCTCCAGGCTCCCAGAAAAGTAACATGAATGCTTCAAATTTACTGGCCCCTGCTGACATTGTGAAACAAACTGGATTCTCGTTATTGTCATTATTGTTGTATAAAAAGTTAGACGAGGGACTTCCCTGGTGGTGCAGTGCTTAAGAATCCGCCTGCCAATGCAGGGGACATGGGTTCAATCCCTGGTCCAGGAAGATCCCACATGCCGCGGAGCAAATAAGCCCGTGCGCCACAACTACTGAGCCTGCGCTCTAGAGCCCACGAGCCACAACTTCTGAGCCCACGTGCCACAACTACTGAAGCCCGGGTGCCTGGAGCCTGTGCTCTGCAACAAGAGAAGCCACGACAATGAGAAGCCCGCGTACCGCAACGAAGTGTAGCTCCAGCTTGCCGCAACTAGAGAAAACCCACGCACAGCAACGAAGACCCAACGCAGCCAAAACTAAATAAAAATTTAAAAATAAACTTATTTTAAAAACAAAAAGGTTAGGGACTTCCCTCATGGCCCAGTGGTTAAGACTTCACCTTCCAATTCAGGGGGCACAGGTTCGAGCCCTGGTTGGGGAAGTTCCACATGCTGTTGGGCGTGGCCAAAATAAAATGTTAAAAAAAAGAAAAAAGTTAGATGAGTTACTGGATGACAGGACTCATTTGCTTTCATGCTCCATCGGAATATGCTTCCATTTCCAAGCTCCCCTAACAGAACAGTGGCCGACTATGCAAGAGCTGCAGTTGGTTCTGTGATGTGACTAAGACATTAATAATATTAGCTTATCTTGATCGATCACTTACTGCATGCCAAACTCTGTTCTAAGTGCTTTTGCCTGTTAACTCAACCCTCACAACACTTCAGAGATAGGTACCCTTCTGGATCAGGAAGCTGAGGCGCAGAGGAATGACCTTGCCCCAAGCCACACAGCTAGTGAGGGTTCTGACTCCAGAACCCATGCCATGATGTCTCCAATTATTGAAGGCACAATGTCAGCAACCAGAGACAGGTGGGATTTTAGGCCAGGTATGCAGTTGTAATGTGGGGTAGGGCAAGAAGCAGGGACGTAGGAAGTCAGAAGAACTGCTTTTGGTCACCTATGCAATTCCATACTGTTGTATTAAATGTAAAGAGAAAAAATTAAAATGATGTGCTCTAAGCATTAAAAGGATTGTGTTTAGGGGTCAAGTCACGGGGAAAAAAATATATCATTCGAGTGCTTGGGAGGTATGTGAAATTGCCCTTCAGGAGGGTGACAGGCTTCACAAAAGGCACCCTGTAGCAGCTCTTGCTCAGGCCATTGCTGATTTAGGCCTGGGGTCTCCTACCTGATCTCTGGGCATCCAGCCCTTTGCCTTTCCCATCCATCCGGCACTGCAGCCTGGTGTAGTGAAAAGATCAAGAGCATCAGCTGAGAAATCGGGAGCTTTAGGTTCCAGGCTTGCCTCTGCCACTAACTCAACTGTGTGGTCTAAGCCAGGCCCTTCCCCTCTCGGGGCCTCAGCCTTTCTCAGGGTGTATTCTGTGGAACAGTATTCCCATGAGATAGGAACAAGTGCTCTTCCCCGTGCCCCAGAGAGTCCCCTCCCACCCTCGGTTTCCCAAACCCTGCTTCAAACATTGGACCAGACAGCTCCAAGAGCTCCCTGCCAGCTCCAAGATGCCACAGTCCACCCTGTCATCACCTCCAGGTCCACCCCAGGAACTGCTCCTCCATCCTCCTCACTCAGCCAGAAACCTTATCACGGTCCTGGTGCCCCTCCAATGACCCAGCCCCCATGTGCAGCCCTGGACAGGCCCTGTCCCTTCATCTTCCAGTGTTTACCTCCAGCCCTTCAACTACTCTCCATTTCCACTCTATCGCCCCCCTGCAGTCCACTCTCAGAGCAGCCAGAGTGGGTTTTTAAAATGCAAATCGGATTACCTTGACCCTTGACACTCTGCTTAAAACCCCCTAGTGGTTTAATCCCTAAAGTAGTCAAATTCACAAAGACAGAAAGTAGAATGGTGGTTGCCAGGGGCTGGGGGAAGGGGGAATAGAGCATTATTGTTTAAGGGGTACAAAGTTTCAGTTGGGGAAGATGAAAAAGTTCTGGAGAGGGATAGGGGTGATGGTTGCCCAACATCGTGAATGTTGAGCAATGTTGGGCAATGTTAATGCCACTAAACTGAACACTTAAAAATATTTAAAATGGTAAATTTTTTTACATATATTTTACCACAAAACAAAAACAAATGATACAGTGGCTTCCCAGTATATTTAGAATCAGATCCAAACTTCACATCATGGCAAGCAAGAGCTCTGTGACCTGCCCCTTTCCCACTCCCCACACTCCTTCCCCTGCCTCCAAACTCATTTTCAGCACCTCACCCAAACTCATCCCTACCTCAGAACTTGGCACCTGCCGGCCCCTGTTTAGAAGCCCCTCTCTCCCACACCCTGTCCCCAGCAACCCCCCTACCCCAGCACCCACCCACCCCCGCCTCTGAAACCCTGCCCTCCCCCACTCCCACATCCTGTGACCCTACCCGCTTCCCCTTGGCTCCTTTTTTTTTTTTTTTTTCTGGCCACGCTGAGCTGCCCTTTGGTTCCTTCTCATCCTTTGGATCTCATCTCAAGCGTCTCCTCACCAAGGCCCGGCCTAGGTATCCCCCCGCAACAGGCACTTCCAGTATGTCCTCTGTTTTAGTTCCTTTGTAGTGCTTGTTATTTGCAATTACAGTACCTTGTCTTATTTATGTACCGGCTTATCACTTGTCTCTCCCCACCCTACCCAAATGTAAAGTCCAAGAGGATGCCTATGTCTGTTTTCCTTGCTATACCTTGGCACTTAGAATAGTACCTAGTACATGGTAAATGCTTAGTAGATATTTTCTTGTTGTTTTTTGTTTGGTTCGTTGGTTTTTCTTTTCTTTTTTTTTTTGGCTGTGTTGGGTCTTCGTTGCTGGGTGCAGGCTTTCTCTAGTTGCGGCGAGCACGGGCTCTAGGCACGCGGGCTTCAGTAGTTGCAGCATGTGGGTTCAGTAGCTGCGGTGCACGGGCTCTAGGGCACACGGGCTTCAGTAGTTGTGGCGCACGGGCTTAGTTGCTCCACGGCATGTGGGATCTTCCTGAACCGGGATGGAACCCATGTCCCCTGCATTGGCAGGCAGATTCTTAACCACTGTGCCACCAGGGAAGTCCCTGTAGATATTTGTTAACTGGATTAACGAGAAAGAGCAGACAGCACTTGCCCTGTGCTGAGACAGCTCTGCTTGACACACTGTGCCTGGTTCTGCTCCCCCCTCCTTGGTGGCTCCTCCACTCTCCAGCTCCCCCTCCTCTTTGACTCGCCCCCTCCAGTACTGGTCACCCCTGGACCTTCACACCCTCCCACTCCTGATTGCCCCTTGCCCAGCGCCCAGGCTCCCTTGCTTACCTGTTCACAGCTCATGTTGTTCATTCACTGAGCCATGCAAATTCTATGGCAGAAGCCTCTCAGGAGTATCTTTCTTCCCAATTCCAAGGTCAGCAAACAAGAGCAACTGCAAGAAAGAGTCTTGCTTTCTAGCTTTGTCCCACTCCTGATCGCTTCTACCTGGGGACAAACGCCAAACAGATCTCTCAGGTGCAGGCTCTTCCCACGGAACCCACTCCACACTGTTTGACAAAGACATCATTTTTTTTTTTAAGAGTATTTCTTTTTTTTAATATTTATTTATTGGCTTCATTAGGTCTTAGTTGCGGCACGCGGGCTCTTCCTTGTGGTGCACAGGCTCTCTAGTTGTGGTGCATGGGCTTAGCTGCCCCGCAGCTTGCAGGATCTTAGTTCCCTGGCCAAGGATCAAACCGGCGTCCCCTGCATTGCAAGATGGATTCTTAACCACTGGACCACCAGGGAAGTCCTGGCAAAGACATCTGATGGGACCTGTCAAACAGCCTTGCTACTGCTCGGGGATTTTCTATGGCTCCTCAGTGCCTACAGGGTGAACTCCAAGGTCCCCGCTGGGATCCTTGGTCCTCCCAGATTGGTCCCATTTCTCCGGCTGCATCTGTCATCCATTATTCTTTACTTTCAATCTTTATGTTTCAATCAAGTGGAACTGCCAACCATTCCCTATACATGCCCATCCTGGTTGAAATCTTTCTCATCCTTCAAGGCTAGTTTGAACCACCTCCTCCAGAAAACCTTCCTCGGTCTCCTCTTGGTCCTCCTCACATATTATTTTGTGTTGTATTTGAATAATAACAATAACCGATGTTTATTAAACACTAATATTCAAGGCACCATTCTGTGTTATCTCATTTAATCGTTATGTCAGTCTTATGAGGTAGGTGCTATTATTATCCAGGTTTTATAGATGAAGAAACTAAGGCAGAGAGAGGTAACTTGGAGCAAGAAGTCATTTGCCCACGACTGCAGAGCTAAAGCAATCGAGTCAGGATCTGAACCCAGACAGTCTGACTCCAGAACCCATGTCCTTAACCTTTACTCCATGCTGTGTCCCTCTTTTATCCTTTTTAGGAAATAAGCCTCCTTCGCTGCTTCCTCTGCCTAAAAATCTCACTACATACCAATTCCTCTTAATGCTATGGGAAGCACAACCACCTCCTTCTCCAAGCTACACTTCCTGGCATATCACCAACCAGGATGGGTTAAGTGGTGCCTCTGGACTTCCTCCATCACAGCCCAAATCACTGTTTTGAACATTGGACTTGAGTCAGTGTCCCTGGCGCCCTGCACAAAACCCGTCTTCAGACGGTGTTTGCTGAATAAAGGAAATTAGCCTTCCTCATCTTGGGATTCCCTTATCACCTGGCAGTCTCTCCAACAGAAGCCACTCAATATATGGTCACTGAATGTTGACTGCCAAAGGTCTCTGGCCTTGGCGGGGCTCTCATTTTCCTGCTGAGACTCCCCCAGACAGGTGAGACTGGCTCCTTCACTTCACCCTCACCTGAGCCCCTGACCCCTGTTCTGCCCAGATCTGACTGCTCTTAGGAAGTGGTAGATACGTGTGGGCACAGTGCCAGTTTCCAGCTTTCCTGCTTTGTAGCGGTGAAACTTTGATCCTCAGTTTACTCATCTGTGAAACACAGCTGTTGCTATCCATCCCTGCCTCCTTAGCAGACTTCTTTTCATGGTCTGAAGTGTAAAATATCGACAATCATTTTCAATTGTGTTTCAACAAATGTTTATTGCACATTTACTGTGTCATACATATTGTTACAATTTCAGTCTTCACACTAACCCTTTGAGGTAGATATTATTATTATTATTATTATTTTTTGTGGTACCCGGGCCTCTCACTGCTGTGGCCTCTCCCATTGCGGGGCACAGGCTCCAGACGCGCAGGCTCAGCGGCCATGGCTCACAGGCCCAGCCGCTCCGCGGCATGTGGGATCTTCCCGGACTGGGGCACGAACCCATGTCCCCTGCATTGGCAGGCGGACTCTCAACCACTGCGCCACCAGGGAAGCCCGAGGTAAATATTATTGATCCTCATTTTACAGATGAAGGAGCTGAGGCTCAGGGAAAGCATGTGACTTAACAGCTACGCCTTGGGGGCAAGTTGCAGAGACTAGGTCTGCACCCGGTGTTTCTGTATTCTTTCCACCCACTCCACTGCCTGAGCCTCCTGTTGGTGTCAGTTACCCGCGACTAGACCATGCCCTACATCTGAGGCCTCCTCCTCGGCCTTAGTCCCCCGGAGCATTTGCCTCTGCTGCAGATAAGCAGCGGGGATTGTTTTTGGAGACAGTGTTTGCACATGATCTTGGCTGCACCTGCTACTGAGATAACACTTCGAGAAAAATCCAGCATGTCACTCTCTTCATTTTTTAAGAAAGACTAGGGAGAGGAGGTGTCAAGTTTAATCTCTGAATCTTTACAGGCACTTTTATTTTTACAGGTTTGGAAACTAGAGGGATCCTTGAGGGAAAACCAAGGGATGAATTTTGGGTCCCAAATCCCTGACTCAGGAGCCTCCCTCAGGGCCCAGTTAGTCCTTAGCGCTGAGGTCAGGCTCAAGCCCAGCCAGGGGGAGCCGCTCACCCGCACTCTTTAAAGATGTCCGGGTAGTGCCGGAACAGCACCGGCGGGTCCCGGTCACCTCGGACTGGGGCCCGAGGCACAGCCCGGATTCCGGGCCTCCGGCCCCGCCGGCCCCCAGAGCAGGAGCGGTGGATCCACTGGTGCGCTTCCACGGCAAACTTCCTCTTGAAGCGCATGCCACACTCGGGGCAGGGGAAGGGCCGCTCACCCGAATGCATGCGCCGGTGGCTGACCAGCAGCGAGGGATAGGTGAAGCGGCGGCCGCAGTCTGCACACACGTGGCGCCGCTGGCTGGCCTGAGCATCTACGCTGGGCACCAGGGCCGGGGGCTGCGCACCTGCGCTCTGGTCACAGGCAGCTTTGCTGGGTGGCTCTGCTCTTGCCGAGGTTTTGCTGATGGTTGAGTCAAGGTTGTTTTTAACCAGCTCTTCAGGCCTCTCCTTCCTAGGAGTCTTTTCGGATCCTTTGGCTCCTGGCCCTATCTTGGGTTCCTCTTCCCTTTTGTTTGGGGCATCTCCTAGGAAACAGGAATCAAGTTACATTTTAAAACACATTCGCTTATATCGTTTCAGGTTATAGGATGCTTTTACTTAAGGAAGTGCCAGAAAAGTACTGCCCAGTGATTAACACACAGGCTCTAAAGGATGGTAAACAGGGGTCAAATCTCTTAAGAGCGACTTATCTGGGCCTTGCTTCCTCATGTGTCAAACGGGAATCATAATGGTTTCTTTAGTTCACAAGTTTGTTGGGAGGATTAAATGAGTAAAAGCATCTTAAGTACTTAGTAAATGCTCAGTAAGCAATAGCAGTACTTCCCTGGTGGCGCAGTGGTTAAGAATCCGCCTGCCAACGCAGGGGACAAGGGTTCCATCCCTGGTCAGGGAAGATCCCACATGCCGGAGCAACTAAGCCTGTGCGCTACAACTACCAAGCCTGCGCTCTAAAGCCTGCGCGCCGCAACTACTGAGCCCGTGTGCTGCAACTACTGAGCCCACGTGCCCCAGCTACTAAAGCCCGCACACCTAGAGCCCCTGCTCCGCAACAAGAGAAGCCACAGCGATGAGAAGCCCACACACCGCAAGGAAAAGTAGCCCCCCGCTTGCTGCAAATAAAGGAAGCCCGCGCGCAGCAATTAAAACCCAATGCCGCCTAAATCAATAAATAAGCAGTAGCTATTATTATGGTGGTTTCTCATTTTTTTGCAGGGTTAAGACATTTACAGAGGAGTAAAGATATTTGCTCAAGATCACTCTGCTGAGGGATGGTGAAAGGAGAAGAGCCAAGTTGTCAATTACTGGCCAATTACTACTTTGCCTTGTTTGAGAATGTGAAAGGCAGACCTGAAGCTGCTTTCATTCTTAGGGGATTTTAGTTGTCCCTGAAAAGGGGAGAATGAACAGCGCTTCTCCCAGAGGGAGTCTCAGACTTGGGCTCCTGATTATCTTACTCTGGTCTCAACTTGACTACTGTACCAAATTCTGAAAAATTTGTATCAGGTCTGACTCTTTTCCTTCTCCCGTATCCAACATCTGTTGACTCTTTCATTCCTTTAGGGATGCTGGAGGTGGCGATCTGAAAGAAAACACTGCTAGACAGGAAGCCCTGGAATACTGGGGCTGGGGGAAACTTGGGACCATCCCTCACCTCTCAGAGCTCCTCCCAGGCTTTCCCCCTCCTCAGGATCCTGGGCGGCGGGGCTCCAAGCCTCACTCTCCTGTTCCATCCAAGAGATGAGGGCTGGTTTGGGGCCTGGGAATCCTGGGAGAGAACAGGGATCACAGTGCTGGCCTGAGAGGCTGCCCTGGGAAGATGGCATCCCCCTGTCAGGGTGAGGTCACCTCCTCAGAATTTAGGATCAACCTGGACAGGGTCTGCAGTGCTCCTGCCTGAAGCAAGCGGATGCGAGATGGAAGGACTCTCGAGAGGGTACCTTAAGCGCTGGGGATGGGAGGTGGCTGGTGTCGTTGGTGGAATAGTGCGGGATTAGGCCTCACAATCCTCCGGGTCCTCATGTCATCTCCCCTGTGAACCCCAGTGAAGGAGCAGGCGAACTCTGACCCGGAGCCTCACCGAGCGCATCCAGGTGGCCGTAGGTCTCCCGCATCACGTCCCGGTACAGGGCCCTCTGCGGGGGCCGCAGACACCCCCACTCCTCCGGGGAGAAGTACACGGCCACATCCGCGAAGCTCATGGCCGCAGGCTTCTTGCAACCAAGCCCGGTCTCCCCTGGTCTCAGCACCAGGAGCGGGGCCGGGGGCGGCGCCATGTGGCCTCCAGCCCAGAGCAGCGGCCGCCTGCTCCCCGCGCCTGGCCTCAGCTCTCGTCGTCCACAGGAAGGGCTCCCGAGCCTGGGGCCCCTCCTAGTCTTGGCCTCCGAACTCAGCCGAAGGGAACCGAAGTAGCAGGGTTGGCTGTTTGGGATTCGGGATTCTGATGGGGACAAATAAACACCCTCGGTGTTTAGTCACTTCCTGGCAGCTTGGACACACACACCCGGGTTAAGGGACCCGTAAGGTGCCTTCAGAAAATATGGCGACATCCAGGCTTCAGTTGTCACTGGCTGCTCTTAAGGGCGCCGTCCCTTGACCGTATCAAACATGGCGCTGGTCTGGCTTTTCATTGTCCACTTGACCTTAAATACAATGGCCGTGCAGGTGAGTTTTAACGGGTGGGAGCTGAGGGGAGCTTTCCTGCCATCAAGAAAGATGGACGTGCCCGCGGCTTCCAGCACTCCCGCTGGCCGCGTTGCACGCCGGTGATTGGCCGCGACAGCAGGAAGCGGCTGTGCCGCGACGCGGGACTGGCGGGGCGTTTTCACGCGGAACTCTCTGTAGGCGGGATCTGGAACCCAGCAACGATCTCGGCGTTTGTGGAGCTCGGGACTTTGAACTCGATGGTCTCTTTCTGCGCGTCCCGGCAGCGGGATCCGCAAGCCGGTCTCTGGCCCCTGCGGGAAGACGCACACACCTGGCCAAACCCTGGGGGCAGCCGAGGTAGAGATCAGGTACACGTTTACACTTGGGTGCACAGCTGCGGAGCCGACCCGACGCCTTGCACCGGCAGTTCCGCTCGCTCATTTTCTGGACTGGAGCCGCCGGCGAAGGAAGGTGCTTGGTGAGGCTGGAATTGGAATGGAGAAGTTTTAAATTACTTTTTAAGTTTTTCCAAAATAATTAACGTACGTGGTTTTTAAAAAAGTAATACAAAAGGTTTGTAATGAAAAAGGCAGCCTCCCTACCCATTCCCCCTGTTCCGTAGAGGCAACTACTTTAAACTTTTTTTTTTTTTTTTTTTTTGCGGTACGCGGGCCTCTCACTGACGTGGCCTCTCCCGTTGCGGAGCACAGGCCCCGGACGCGCAGGCTCAGCGGCCATGGCTCACGGGCCCAGCCGCTTCGCGGAATGTGGGATCCTCCCGGACCGGGGCACGAACCCGCGTCCCCTGCGCCGGCAGGCGCACTCTCAATCACTGCACCACCAGGGAAGCCCCTCAACTTTTTATTAACTTGAATTATATTGTACATACAGTAAAATGCACGGATCTTCAGTGTGAAATCCGTTGAGCTTTGACAAATGTATGCCATCACCCAAAACAAGATGTAGGACATTGGTATCACCCATGTTTCCTTTCCAATCAATACATACTTTTCTATTGTGATATATTGCATAAAATTTTAACCATTTTTAAGTTTTTAATTCAGTAGCATTAATTACATTCACAATGTTGTGCGACCATCACTAGTGTCATTTTCCAAAACATTTTCATCCTCACAAAAGAAAACCTGGAACCTGTTAAACAGTCCTTCCCCATTCCTTTCTTCCCCCCCCCCCAGCCCCCTCCCCCCCCGGTAACTTCCCATCTGCTTTTTTTCTTGGGTTTTTTTTTTTTTTTTTTTTTTTTGCGGTACGCGGGTCTCTCACTGTTGTGGTCTCTCCCGTTGCGGAGCACAGGCTCCGGACGCGCAGGCCCAGCGGCCATGGCTCGTGGGCCCAGCCGCTCCGCGGCATGTGGGATCCTCCCAGACCGGGGCACGAACCCGTGTCCCCCTGCATCGGCAGGCGGAATATCAACCACTGCGCCACCAGGAAGCCCCCTTTTCTTAAAAATTGTGGTAAAATATACATAACATAAAAGTTATCATTTTAACCTCTTTTAAAAAATCATTTTAACCATTTTTAAGTTCAGTGGTATTAAGTACATTCACAGTGTTATGCAACCATCACCACCATCCACTCCAGAAATTTTTCATCTTCCTAAACTGATTCAATACACTTCACTCTTAGCCATTTCTTCTGGAGCTTTCGTTTTAAAATACACTTTTTTTAAAATTGCTTTTTCTTGGTATACTCATTTTAGACACTATGGGCACCCTGCTATGATACTTAATTTCTAGCCCCATTCCCTTGACCTCTTTACAACATACTTAATGCAATAAATTATTTATTTATGGCTGTATTGGGTCTTTGTTGCTGCATGCGAGCTTTCTCTAGTTGTGGCGAGCAGGTGCTACTCTTCATTGCGGTGCGTGGGCTTCTCATTGCGGTGGCTTCTTTTGTTGTGGAGCACAGGCTCTAGGCGCGCAGGCTCAGTAGTTGTGGCTCGCGGGCTCTAGAGCACAGGTTCAGTAGTTGTGGCGCACGGGCTTAGTTGCTCCGCGGCATGTGGGAATCTTCCCAGACCAGGGCTCGAACCCGTGTTCCCTGCATTGGCAGGCAGATTCTTAACCACTGCGCCACCAGGAAAGCCCATTGCAATACATTATTGTAAATAGCATTTCCTATATATGCTATTATTATACTTCCTTTCTTGTCAACTGTTTGCTTTTCTTCAATTTTATAATTGTCTTTTCTCCTTGTGCTATCTGCTCTGCTTTTTTAAGTTGTTGCAAATCACCAAGGGGAGCATCAAATCTCAAATCCCCATTTTTTTTTCCTGGGAAATCTCCCTCCTTGGGCCCTCAGCCCTCTCTCCAAAACAGACTGGGCCTCAGCTGTCATCCAGGGTCTTCCCTCCCTGCCCTTGGGTTGTATCCTCTGCTTCCTAGACTCAGTGTCTTCCTATTTTTGAGTTGAGAGGGGTCATCTCAATGGCTTGCATTGGACTGACTACAGGTGCTAGATGTTTTCACTCCCACCTTTGGAATATTTCTGCAGTCAGGCAGGATGCAGACTCTAGTTGCTAAGCGTGGGGCCGGTCACTGGAGATAACAGACGGATGAGATCTACCAGGTGTCTGTTGGCAGCAGCCCACAGTCTGGTCTTGGAACAATTCCTTGCTTGCCCTCCTGCCTGCCCTACATGCCGAATCTCCCCTTTGTGTTCAGAAATGTTCTTTGCTGATCATGCTAGTGCCTTTTCAGTCTTTATATTTTCTGGCCTTGTCCTTGCTGTTTTTCACCGGAAATACTTTCTGGCTTTAAGTGTGACTTCTGCTGATTTTGCCTCAACAATTATGTGCTTATTTTAAAACATTTTGAGTTCTGGAGGTAATTCACTGTGTGAACAGTGTAGAAATGGGAGTAAGGAAAAAAACAGATCCTCAGAAATAAGTATCCTTTTAAACAGGGAATCAGGGGCTTCCCTGGTGGTGCAGTGGTTAAGAATCCGCCTGCCAATGCAGGGCACACGGGTTTGAGCCCTGGTCCGGGAAGATCCCACATGCCGCGGAGCAACTAAGCTTGTGCACAACTACTGAGCCGCGTGCGTAGAGCCCGTGCTCTGCAACGAGAAGCCACCGCGATGATAAGCCTGCGCACTGCAATGAAGAGTAGCCCCTGCTCGCTGCAACGAGAAAGCCCGTGCACAGCAACAAAGACCCAATGCAGACAAAAATAAATAAATAAATAAATTAAAAAAACAAAACAAAACAGGGAATGAACTTTATGTAAAAAGAAGCTATAAAGCATTTCACTTGGACCAAAAAATACTTGTTTATTCAGGTACTATGTTGTAAATCATTTCTCTTTGCACTAGGGATGGAGAAAACATAAGAAGATGGAGCTAAGTACACTTGGCTGTTAACCATCAGATTGCAACGTTCAAGACTAAAACTGTTTGCTCATAAGTGGTTGGTGTCATGTTTTTCCTGCCAATCATTATAAAAATACAAAAATGATGCTTTCAAATTGCTTTATTGCCCAACAAACTGTAAATGTTTGTTGAAGAATCTTGATCAGATAATTATGAGAAATTAGGAAACACGCAGGAGGTCATTATAGTTCATAAATTTTACTTGTCAGTTTACATCTGAATAATGTAATAATATAATATGCTTAAGGCCACACAGCTAGTGGGGACTGAGCTGAACCTGGAATCCAGGTCTACCAATTCAGGAGAGGCTATGTAGTGAAGTAAAAATAACCCTCAGTTCCCATTAATAATCATCTTTGGAACCCAGGTATTTGGAGAAGCAGTCTTTTGGTCAAGAGATATTTGAGCCACCTAGCACCACTCCTGACATAGACATGCTTAGTCCCCCCCCACCTCCTTGCTTTTATCCCTTCAAGAGTTTCCTGTTCTAAAGTAGGGCTAGCAAATCTAAATAGGTCAGAAAGACCTCTCAACTGTTGACACATACAAACATTACAGTAAAAATTAAGTCGGAAGATAACTATGCCTTGATTTCAACTCTAATCACAAGTAATATACTCCTTCTTTAAAAAAAAAAAAAATTCCCCAGCATCATATTTCCAGCTGCTGTGGCCCAAGAATACATCTTTACTCAAAAGATGCAAAATCCAGGAAACATGCAAATATCTGGGGGAAAAAAAGCACATTGCAATTACTAGTTCATAAAAATTTGGAGAAAAAACCCTTTAAGCTCGCTAAGTTTGATACCTTTGTGCACTATGTGCAGAGCAAGTGTGGGGCAGGAGAGTTCCTCACCTGAAGCCACTGTCCTCTTTACGGCCACCTCTAAGTCTTCAAGACCAAACAATGCCAACAGAGGCTTGACACCACATGTGTGTTCTTGCTAGCTACTTGACCTGCTCTGGGTAAAAGACAGAATCCTTGGATGAGCTTCCCCAGTGCGGACAGGCCCGAAGCGTGCCCTCTATTCCAGGGAGCACCAGCTCCTTTAATAGGCTCTTATATCTAGGGTACTCCGTCTCTGAGGAGCGGGAGAGATACAGTCCAGAAAGCAGAATGCACTAAGGGAGAAAATAATCCAGAAAGAAAAGCCAGTTAGGTGAATGGTTTTCAGTGAAGTAACCTCAAGTGGGACTTGGAAGAGGGACCAGGAGCCTCAGCCCAAGAACTGAACACTAGTCGCGGGTGGCTGAAGGTGCACCAGAACCAGAACTGGAACGTGCCTTCCTAAGAGATGGTAGCAACGTGGCCCCAAGAGTGCTACCAGTCTCAATTTAGCTGTTCTGTTGAGCCCTTTGTGCAGATCAGGTGCAGGGAAACACGGAGGGGCTCTGGAGTGGGCAGTGTGTGCTGAGGCTCCGAGTGCGGGAGGAGGTTCTCCAAGGTCACAACCTGGGGTTTGAAGTGAAGGACCTTTCCCTCGTTTCTGCTCACAGCTGCAGAGATCTGGATCCTGGGCCTCTGGGCTCCACGCCTCCACCTCTCTTTCCACCTAAAAGATAAAATTGGGTTTGGGGCCTGAAAATCCTCACAAACACTGGGCTCGGCTGAGAACCCGAGAAGAGAACTGAGGGCGCTTGCTCGGTGCTCCACACTTCCAGCCCATCGCCCCTGGGCGCATCAGTCCCCGCTTCCCACAGATTACTGGGTCCTGGCTGGGCCGCCGGACCTCACCGAGCGCGCCCAGGAAGCCATAGGTCTCCCGCGTCACGTCCCGGTTCAGGGCCTTCTGCGCGGGCCGCAGACACCCCCACTCCTCCGGGGAGAAGTACACGGCCACATCCGACAAACCTCACGGCCCCTGGGCTGCTGTCCCTCGTCCGCCCGGTCCCGGCCTCCCCAGGCACATCCGCCACCGGGAACCGGACCGGGGTCGGCGCCACGGGAAACCCTTCTGTGCTTCGCAGAGAGGCTTCCGGAAAATGTGGAAACGCAATTACCTGTTTCCGGCCTTCCTTGGAAAACGTCCTGAAGGCCCACAGTCCTGCCCTTAACTAAGATGGTGCCCCTCCGGCCTCAACATCCCTCGCCTTTCTTATCTGCCCTTCCATGCCAAGGGGCAAATCGGAAGGGAGGTTGGACTCCACGGCGTAACCGTAGAGAGATAGCATGCGTTGATTGGACAGCGCCGGTCGCTAGGGGAAGAAGGAAGGCTCTGATTGGTCTTTCCGGAGCGGTCTGTTTGAAAGGTCGAGAGTGAAGTAGCGGCAGATCCGAAGGTGGCCGGCGGTGCAGGATTTCTCTTGATCTGGCTTTTCTGGGTCGGCATCTAAGAGAGAGGCTCCAACGGAGTAAAGGTACTCATTTCTGCTACTCTCATGAGACCTCTTATGGGCAGGTCCGGGGCTTGGAGGTGAGTAAAAGCCCAAGGGCAAGACTGAGGCGGGTTCTGGAGGTAAGGGAGTGAGCTCTGGTACTCGGGCAGGGCTAGCCCGTGGGCTGTGGAAATGCGTTCCTACCCAGTATTTGATCTGGCCCGTGCTCCAAGGTCACAGATGTCTCCCCTTTTACAGACAATGAAACTGAGTGACGGGGCAGGTGACAGCTCACGGGGCAGCAGAGCCGGATTCAGAGTCATCTGGCTCCCGTTTCGGTTGAACTTAGGTTCAATTAAGTGCTTAGGGTAGCGCCTTGCACAAAGTACTCAATAAATAGGAGCTTATAGTTGTTATTGTAATTATAACACTATCTAGACCCTGCCTCAATCAGAAAACCTGTGTCAAATTACAGCTTATAAATGAATAATAACACTGAGGAATGAGTCAGATCATCTCTTAAGATTTATTTCAATTCTGGATCAAGGTGGTGGAGTGGGAAGGTCCTGAGCTCACCTCCTTCCAGGACACACCAAAACTACAACTACGTATAGAACAACTATCTCTGAGAACTGACCTGAAGACTAGCACAACAGATTTTCTACAACTAAGGATATAAGGAAAAGGCCACATCGAGAAAGGTAGGAAGGGCAGAGTCCTGGTCTAGTGAGAACCTCCCCCACTCCCGTGGGACAACCCACAAGCAGGAGGGATATCACAACCGCAAAGGTCCCCCCTGAGGAGCAAGGGGTCCATGTCCCACATCAGGCTCCCCAGCCTGGGAGACCTGCACCGGGAAGCCAAGCCCCCATAACATCTGGCTTTGAAAACCAGCAGGGCTTACATCTGGGAGAGCCCGAGGGCCGTGGGAAAGGGAAGACACTCAATTATTAAAGGACTCTCGCAGAAACTCACTTGCTCCAAGTCCTAGCACAGAGGCAGCAGCTTGAAAAGCGCCCGGGTCATACAAGAAGGAGATTCATTGACTAATTTCAGGGCATGCACCGGAGGGGCAGGGATCTGGTGGAATTTTCTCTGGGGATGGAAGCACTGGCAGACGTCATTTGTTTTTACTTTCTTTCCACGTAGCTGGCCTGGTGCTGGTGAGCACTATTTCTATCACTCTCCATCAGCCTAGCTAACACCACGCGCCCTGCCCCTGCTTTCCCCTGAGGACCCAGGGGACCAACCTCACCCACCAGCACACCTGCAACATTTGCTGCCCAACCGCAACAGGAGGGCACATGCAGCCCACACAGGGGATACCCCTGGAGCACCTGGCTCTGTTGATCGGGGGAGATTGCACCACTGAGCCCACAGGACACCTCCTATGTAAGGCCACTCTTTCAAGACTGGGAGATGAAGCTGATTTACATAGAAATGAACACAGAGGGTTAGGCAAAATGAAGAAACTACAGAATATCTTCAGAAGGGAAGAACAAGACAAAACCTCAGAAAAAGAACTAAACAAAGTGGAGACAAGCAGTTTATCAGATAAAGAATTCAAAGTAACTGTCATAAAAATGCGCATCGAACTCAGGAGAAAAGTGGATGAATCCGGAGAGGTAATCTGTGAGGAAATCATCAAAGGGCTAGAAGATCTGAAAAACGAAGATTTAAAACTTTTGAATTTATTAACTGAAATGAAAAATACACTCGTGGAAAGCAGCAGGAAATCAGAGAATGCAAAAAAACCAAAACAGACCAGTGATCTGGAAGACAAATGGAAGTTGCCCAATCAGAACAGCAAAAAGGGGGACTTCGCTGGTTAAGACTCTGTGCTCCCAATGTAGGGGGCCCAGGTTCAATCCCTGGTCAGGGAGCTAGATCCTGCATGCTGCAACTAAGACCCGGAGCAGCCAAATAAATAAATAAATATTAAAAAAAAAAAAGGAATCCCCAAAAAACAAGAATAGGGTCCCCACCGCGGGTCCCAGCAGCTCCAGTGTGGGGGAGAGTGGCAGCAGCCAGACAGCCCAGCTTCGAGAAGGCTCTTGGCAGTCTGGCTGGCACACCAGGGAAGTCCCTATTTACTCTCTTTTAGATCCTTTTCCCATATAGGCCATTACAGAGTATTGAGTAGAGTTCCCTGTGCTATACAGTAGGTCCTTATTAGTTACCTATTTTATATATAATAGTATGTATATGTCCATCCCAATCTCCCAATTTATCCCTCCCCCCCAATCCCCCTGGTAACCATAAGTTTGTTTTCTACATCTGTGACTCTATTTCTGTTTTGTAAATAAGTTCATTTGTACCATTTTTTTAGATTCCATATATAAGCGCTATCATATGATATTTGTGTTTCTCTGTCTGATTTACTTCACTCAGTATGATAGTCTGTAGGTCCATCCATGTTGCTGCTGTAAATGCTTTTTTTTAAGAGGTGAAGTCATTTGCTGGTTGTTTATTTTTTGGTACAATCAGAAAGTAGTGGGATATTGAATATGGGAGGTTCTGATTGTCTTGGGTGTCAGCTTAACATTCCATAGATGGGGTAGCTTTTCTATCCTATAATACAAAGCATACTAAATGGCAATTGGAGTCAATTGTACATTTAATATCTTGAACACTTTTTATATATTTATTTTATTTATTTTCCTTTTTTTTTTTATTGGCTGCGTTGGGTCTTAGTTGTGGCACACAGGATCTTTGTTGAGGCATGCAGGATCTTTCTCATTACAGCGTGCGGTCTACTTGGGCTTCTCTCTAGTTGTGGCATGTGGGTTTTCTCTCTCTAGTTGTGGAGGATGGGCTCCAGGGCACGTGGGCCCTGTAGTTTGCGGCACGCAAGCTCTCTAGTTGAGGCGCAAGAGCTCAGTAGTTGTGGCATGCGGGCTTATTTGCCCCATGGCATATGGGATCTTAGTTCCCCGACCAGGGATCGAACCCGCATCCCCTGCGTTAGAAGGCGGATTATTTACCACTGGACCACCAGAGAGGTCCCTTGAACACTTTAAATTACTTCTCTTCCCTTGTTGTTTTTGGTAGAATTGTTTCCTAAAGCAAACCACTCCTTGATCTTGGCTCTCCTGGTCAGAATTTTGTGCACTCTGTAACATCGTTGGTCCTGGTAGTCCAGTTTTCCTAATAACTTTGTTGATGTGCTATGAATGATTGAAAACTTGAGTATGTAGTGTATACGATATTAAATTGTGAATTTAGTGGGACTTAGGATGTAACAGCATATCAACATTTGAAGATATGGGTACTTGATATCCTGTTAAGGGAATTTGCCTCCAAATTTTAAGCTGGAAAGGCACTGGAATAACTGTTCAGAAAAGAATCATGGGGGACTTCCCTGGTGTTCCAGTGGGTAAGACTGCGCTCCCAATGCAGGGGGCCTGGGTTCGATTCCTGGTCGGGGAACTAGATCCTGCATACATGCTGCAACTAAGAAGTCCTCATGCCACAACTAAGAGTCCACATGCCTCAACTAAGCCCTGGCACAGCCTAAGTAAATTAATTAATAAATTTAAAAAAAGAAAAGAAAAGAATCATGGGAATTTCCTGGCTGTCCAGTCGGTTAGGACTCTGTCTTTCCACTGTAGGGGGCACAGGTTCGATCCCTGGCTGGGGAACTAAGATCCCACAAGCTGCGCAGTGCAGCCAAAAAAAAAAAAAAAAAGAATCACAACTACATAATTTTTTAGGTTTTTGGTATGTATGTTAAGAATTGTGTACAGAGCTTCCCTGGTGGCGCAGTGGTTGAGAATCCGCCTGCCAGTGCAGGGGACATGGGTTCGATCCGTGGGCCGGGAAGATCCCACATGCCGTGGAGCAACTAAGCCCGTGCACCACAACTACTGAGCCTGTGCTCTAGAGCCCATGAGCCACAACTACTGAGCCCACGTGCCGCAACTACTGAAGCCTGTGTGCCTGGAGCCCGTGCTCCACAATGAGAGAAGCCTCCGCAGTGAGAAGCCCGTGCACTGCAACAAAGAGTAGCCCCCGTTTGCCGCAACTAGAGAAAGCCCGCGCACAGCAACGAAGACCCAACACAGCCAAAAATAAATAAATTTATTTTAAAAAATGAATTGTGTACAAATTGAAATGCCTGTGTACTGATCCTCGAAACAACTAATAAAATCTCAATTATGAAAGAAAAGAAAAGAAAACAAAAATGAAGATAGTTTAAGGGGCCACTGAGAGGACATCACGCAGACTAACATTTGCATTGTAGGGTCCCACAAGCAGCCAAAAAATAAATAAAATAAATAAAATTTTTTTAAAAGAAAGAAAATGCAAATTAACATGAATTTTTTAAAATTTATTTATTTAATTTATTTTTTGGCTGTGTTGGGTCTTCGCTGCTGCACGCGGCCTTTCTCTAGTTGTGGCGAGCAGGGGCTACTCTTCCTTGTGGTGCACGGGCTTCTCATTGCGGTGGCTTCTCTTGTCGCGGAGCACGGGCTCTAGGAGCGCAGGCTTCAGTAGTTGTGGCATGCGGGCTCAGTAGTTGTGGCTCACGGGCTCTAGAGCGTAAGCTCAGTAGTTGTGGTGCACAGGCTTAGTTGCTCCACGGCATGTGGGATCTTCCTGGACCAGGGCTCGAACCCATGTCCCCTGCATTGGCAGGTGGATTCTTAACTACTGCGCCACCAGGGAAGTCCCTGCATTTTATTTCATAAAATAACCAAATGCAAAAGAATGTATAGTCAAAAGTAAGTTTCACAAGTGTTGAACTCTCATACTACTGGTGGAGTGTCATTTGGTACAGTCACTCTGGAAAGCTGGCGGTATATACTAAAGCTGAAAATATGCCATACCCTATGACCTAGTAATTTCATTCCTAGGTGTATACCCAACAGAAATGAATACATATGTTTACTGAAAGACATGTGCTCACAGCAACATAAGTTGCAATAGCTCAAAACTGGAAACTATCCACAACAGTAGAATGAATAAACAAAGTGGGATATTCACTACATGGAATACCATTCAGGAATGAGAATGAATCATCTCCAACCACATGCATAATATGGATGAATCTTATAGGCAAATATTGAGCAAAAGATGCCAGACAAAATAGTATACATGATTCTATTCATATAAAGTATAAAAACAGGCAAAACTAATGCAAGCTGTTAAGAATCGGGATAGAGGGTTACCTTTTTTGTTTCTAGGGTGCTGATGAGATTCTGATTCCTGTTCTAGGTGCTGGTTACTCAGATGTGTTCAGTTTGTGAAAATTGAGCCATGCACTTGTGATATGTGAACTTATTTTTGTATTATGCTTCAATTTTTTACAAAAAGTCTCTCCTCTAGTCCCTTTCCCCTCCCTAGAGGCAATTTCTGTTACCAGTTTCTTATGTCCTTCCTGAGTTATTTTACTTTTTTTACTTGTTTTTTTGGCCGCGCGGCATGTGAGATCTTAGTTCCCCAAGCAGGGATCGAACCCACGCCCCCTGCATTGGAAGGCAGATTCTTAAGGCAGGTTCAGACTGGACCACCAGGGAAGTCCCCCAACTTCATTCTTTTTCATGTCCCAGCACCACCTGTTGAAAAGACTTTCTTTCCTTTCAGTGTCTGGCACCTTTGCTGCAAATCAGTTGATCATAAATATAAGGGTTTATTTCTGGAAGAACATTTTGTCTTATTTAATACATTTCTCTCATTTGGATCTCGAAGAATTAGAATCCCTGAAAACTGTAGTTACTTCCCTTCTCCCATGCCCAGCCACCCTGTTAGATGGCTGTAGGTACATTTGGAAAAGGGTAGGAAGAAGTTTTACAGTGTTTTGCCAATGTAACATGGTCCTTCATCAAGGGGACCCAGCCTTCCCTTATTCAAGGGGCTCTAGGTCTGGAATTGGCTCAAGTCTGAGAATTTGCTGAGGGTAGAGCCTTGTGTTTTTTGGCATACTCAGCAAGATGTGTAGCAACATGAGAGACCCATGGAGGAGCATCTCCTAACACTGACTTTATGGGGTTCTCGTACCAACTATAGATTGGCATGTATATAAAATGCTTAATGCCACGGTACACGGCACATCATAAAGGCTCAACAAAATAGCTAGAATACTATTGCAGTAGGCCAAAGAATAAACAGAGTGGATGTAGTGAATGTAGGCTACTGTTGTTTTAAAAAACTTAGCTGAAAATAGGAGATGGGGACGGAAGCCAAAGGGAAATTTCTTTGTTTTCAAAGACAGATTTTTCCACGTTTATAGGTTGGCATGTATATATTCCAGGCAAAAGAGGGACTCTGAAACCATAAAACTAAGAGAGAATAATAGACGGAGCAAAGTCCCTGAGAGGGCACAAGGAGATGAAATCCAGGCACACCTATACAGACAAGCTCTGCGTATGAGGGACTTCCCATGAGGTGGGGAAGCAAGTACGAGTGGTCACACTGGTAAATATGGAGTCACAGCAGGGAATGGAATGTTAAGGGAGTTCCTGTTTGACATCCTGTGTTTTCTTGGTGAAGGGGAAGGCAGTCACTGGTTTGGGGCTATAAAAGACATAAACAATGTTGAAGGTTCAGCTGAGGATGGAGTGGAAAGGCTGGCCCCTCTCAGCAGCACTGTGAATTTTTTTTTCTTCATAGCTCACATATAGGCATGAGGACAGATGGGAAATATACCCATATTGGGGCTGTGGATTAGTTAATTCTTTTGGTTGCAAGTAACAGAAACTCAATTTAAACTACCTGTAGCAGAAGAGAGAATTACTTGGAAGAATACTGGGATCTCCCACTGACTACAGTTAATTGTCAAAGGGATCCTGGGACTGAAGTGCATTAGGAAACCTAAGAACTTGTCTGTCATCTCGGCCCTCCACAGACCACATACTGGGACTTGCCTACCAACGGCTCCCAAGTTCATGAGTTACAATCCAGGCCCAAAGAAATTTCTAAAATTCCTAGGTAAGGAAGTAGTTGGGTCAGCCTGGTGATAGAGGTAGGGAAAAGAGGCAGTTCTGAAACAGGAGGCTAGGCAGAATTCTAATAGGTTTCTGCTAGGAAAGGGCAGGTTTCCATCAGAACTGTAAAAATGTCTACTTAGTCAAGGAACTAGATTTACATTTTATAAACAGTAATTCCACAGAGAACATAATCATTCATCAGACATTTTAATGAAACCCAATCTGGTATGACCCCTGCTTTTGGGGTAGCCCATCAATCCAAGGAGAAACAAACAGTTACAACGCAACTTGCTAAATACCAGAACAGGTAATTACAAATACCCGGTGCCCCAGCTACACCCCCCTGGGGCTGATACCAGGCGGACTGAGGGAAGAAGCAACAGGGGTAGGAGGATGACCCACACCAGCTATTGGAATATGCGATATGTCATGTTTAGAAATTCAGTTTGGTACAGCTACCCAAGGCAAAGTGGTAGGCCTTGTTTACTTAATTCAGTAAAGCTTTACTGCACACCTACTTAGGAATGGGTGCCACGGAGGCATGTCAAAATTAAAACACATTGCTGCTGCTGCTGCTGCTGACTGGAGCTTTTATTAGGGAGGCAGGGCATGAACACAACTTGATGACTACAGACTCTTCCTGCTTTGTATTCAGTTACCTAACTCTTTAACCTCCTTGAATGGCCTCACTTCATTTCATAAAAAATGTTCACAGAGGACTCATTGGAAGGTTTTGTGCTAGTGTCCTGATTCTGATGAGACTCGGGGAGGAGTGAGACCCAGTTCTCAAGAATTTTCCAGCTACTGGCTGCCGGGAACTAATCCAAATCCACCAGATAAAGTACAACAAGCTGGTCCTGGTTCTACTTCTTGCTGCCTAGACCACAGCTCCCCTGTTTTTCCTTAAAATTAACCTTCTCCCAAAGCTCACTGTGCTTATGTCCCAGACCCATCTTGAACCAACTTTCCAAACACAGGATGCAGACGACTTACTTCACAGCATGTGGTTTTAGAACAAAAGAAAAAGCTTAGGTATTTAGGTGTCTGAAACCCAATAAATTCCTGGTACACTGCTACCACCCCCAAATCCAATGCAATCTAGAGCTGTTAAAACAAGTACAGACCAAGGAGGTACAGTGTATACTGTGATGCTGGCTTACTTTGTATGATCCTTTAAAAAGGACATTGAAAAACCAGCACCTGTTTGGGGAGAGATCATGTGTGGGACTTGAATACCTATCTTTAAGGAATGACTGACCAAATTAATGCTAATTAACCTGAAAACATGGGGGCAGAGTATCTGTGGTTAAGTTTTCTGAAGGGCTGCCATGTAGATCAAGTTTTAAACATATTCTGGGCAAGGCTTCCAGGGAAGGAGAATGTTGTTCTTAAGGGCCTTCTAAATTGTCAGAGCTGTCCCACAGTGAAATGACCTGCGTTGTGAGGTAGTGAGCTCCCTGTCAAGGGAGGTTTTAAAGGGTAGAAGACCACTTGGCAGGAATATCGTCAAAAGGGGGCTAAACCAGGTTTGTTTAAACCTGGCATGGAGGAAGAGGCAGAGGAGGAGAAGATCTTGCTCCCCATAAATGGGGTCCTCCTGACTGCATGCAAGGGGACAGGTAATCCCTGCGTGCACAAACTAGAAAACACAAAGCCCGTAAATTAGATGGGGAGAACTTTTAGCCCAATATCCACACACAGAAACTCTTTTAGGATAGGGTAGGTTGGAAAACTTTAACCAAATAATGTCACTTGTCCTACTGGGACTGTCTGTTCTAGACACATGTATTAAGGCAGCCAGCGTGGTAGAATAAAGTTCAGCTCTGTGTAGCAAGAGACCTGGGTTTTAGTTCTGACTCTGCCCTGTATAACCGGGGGCTCCTTCCCTTTTCTGGGCCCCTCCGCAAAAAGAAATGAACTTACACAGTCCTTCCCATTCTAAAGGGCGTTGCCTTTCTGGCTAGGCACCCCTATAGCAGATCTAGGGCTACAGTTCTGGACCCCAGGGCTACACTTGTGGACGGCCAGAGACCACCTCTGGCGGAAGCAACGGCCACACTCGAGGCAGGGGAAGGGCTTCTCCCCAGTGTGCAGGAGCTGGTGCTGAGCCAGGTGGCTCCACTGGGCGAACCGCTTGGAGCACAGGTCGCAGGCATAGGGCCGCTCGCCCGAGTGGACGCGCCGGTGACTGGCCAGCAGTGAGGGGTAGGCGAAGCGGCGGCCACAGTCGTCACACGCGTGCAGTTTCTCCTCGGTGTGCGTGCTGCGGTGTATGGCGAGGGAACCGCTCCGCCGGAAGGCACGTCCGCAGTCCGGGCAGGGATAGGGCTTCTCTCCCGTGTGCAAGAGCTGGTGCTGGAGCAGCGTGCTGCGCTGGGAGAAGCGGGCCTCGCAGTGCTCGCAGGCGTAGGGACGCTCTCCGGAGTGCACCCGCCGGTGACTGACCAGGCGAGAGGAGGAGGAGAAGCGCCGCTCGCAGTCCGGGCACGGGTAGGGCTTCTCGCCCGTGTGGATGCGCTGGTGGATGACCAGGGCGGTGCGCTGGCGGAAGCGCCGGCTGCATTCCAGGCAGGTGTAGGGCTTCTCTCCGGTGTGTGTGCGCTGGTGGATGGCGAGCAGGGAGGGGTAGGCGAAGCGACGCCCGCAGCTGGGGCACTGGTGGGGTTTTTCACCCGTGTGTGTGGTCCGATGATTGGCCAAGGACCTGCTCCTCCGGAAACAGCGGCCACAGTCAGGACAGTGGTAGGGCTTCTCGCCTGTGTGGATAACCTGGTGCTGGGAGAGGTTCTTGCGCTGGGAGAACCGCTTGCCACACTGGTCACAAACGTAGGGACACTCCCCAGAGTGTGCCCGCCGGTGACTGACCAGCAGGGACGGGTAGGAAAAGCGGCGCCCACAGTCTGGGCAAGGGTAAGGCTTTTTCAGATTCTGGGCACACTTGTGGCTCTGCAGGGCCGGGTGATCGGGAAAGGTACAACCACAGTCAGGGCAGATGGGACCTCCGGATGTTTGCCTGGGGATCAGGCGGGGTTTGCTGGGCCGGCGGCCTCGCTTCCCCTTTCGGGGTGCCTCCTTAGGCGGGAATACTTCCTTCTTTTCATTCTTCTTTCTGGTTCTGGTTTCTACAGGAACACAAAGGAGAAATTAATTTAACAAACACTGGGCTCCTACTCTTTCCTATTATAGTGTTACAGGTTATAAAACAGACTCAGCCCGTCTTCAAGGAATGTTAGTGACAAAGACAACCAACCAAGTGTGACATACGGCTATGGAAATATGGAGGGTATTACAGGAGCCCCTAATCCAGCTTGGAGAAATCAGGGAAGGTTTCTTGGAGGAGGTTAAGCTGACTTTAAAAAGGTTTTGGGGGCTTCCCTCGTGGCGCAGTGGTTAAGAATCCTCCTGCCAATGCAGGGGACACGGATTCGAGTCCTGCACCGGGAAGACCCCACATGCTGCGGAGCAACTAAGCCCGTGCGCCACAACTACTGAGCCTGCATTCTAGAGCCCATGAGCCTCAACTACTGAAGCCCGCACGTCTAGAGCCCCAGCTCTGCAACAAGAGAAGCCACTGCAATGAGAAGCCCATGCACTGCAAGGAAGAGTAGCCCCGCTCGCCACAACCAGAGAAAGCCTGCGTGCAGCAAAAGACCCAACTCAGCCAAAAATAAATAAATAAATAAATAAATTTAAAAAAAAAGTTTTGGGGACTTCCCTGGAGGTCAGCGCTTCCACTGCAGGGGGTATGGGTTCGATCCCTGGTCCAGGAACTAAGATCCCGCATGCCGCATAACGTGGCCAAAAATAAACAAATGAATAAAATAAAATAATAATTTTTTTTTTCAGTTTTTGAAGAGGTAAGTATAAGGCAGGAAGTGGAAACAAATGAGGTATGATTTGGCATTGACTAGGTCATAAGGCCCTTTAAGCCAATGCTTCTCAAATTTTATTGTGATCCGAATCATTTGGAGGATTTAATGAAACAGATTGCTGGGCCCTACCCCCAGTTTTAGATTCAACATGTCTAGGATGGAGTCCAGGAATTTGCATTTTCTAATACATTTCCGACTGATGCTGCTGCTGCTGCTGCTGGTCTGACGACCACACTGTGAGAACCAAACCTAAACGTACATCCAAATCAACTGAGGCTACTAAAATATGTATATGTTCATAGATATCCATAAGAGTAAATGAGTCGTTCTGGGATGGGGTCCAGGAATCTGTATTTTCACCAAGTTCCCCAAGTGTCTTAGATATAACTGACAGCCATTTGACAACCTGCCTTGGCAAAAACTGAAAGGTTTTTTTTTTGTTTTTTTTTTCTGGTACGCGGGCCTCTCACTGTTCTGGCCTCTCCCGTTGCAGAGCACAGGCTCTGGACGCGCAGGCTCAGCGGCCATGGCTCACGGGCCTAGCCGCTCCGCGGCATGTGGGATCTTCCCGGACCAGGGCACGAACCCGTGTCCCCTGCATTGGCAGGCGGACTCTCAACCACTGTGCCACCAGGGAAGCCAAGCTGAAAGGTTTTAAGCAAGGAAATATCATGTCCGATCTGAATCTTAGAAAGATAGCCCTGCTCTTAGAGAATCTGGCACAGAAACTCCAGCCCAGACAGTTGCATCTGCCCCTGTAGGTGGATCTGGGGGGCCCTTCTACCTGAACGGCCTTAATCAGAGCCTTGCTTGATCCTGAGGAGACGTGCAGATTCCTGCACTGATCGGGGTCATTCTGCCAGAAGGGCAAACAGAGGCCCCTGCACCCCAGGCCACTGTTCCCCATAAGATCCCTTCAACCAAAACCTGGAAAAGTCAGAGGTATAGGCTCTCTCAGTCAGAGCCCAATTCAAAGCATGCTGGAGACAGAGTCCTGGGAAGGAGGAAGGAGGGTTGTAGCTCTTTTGAAAAGCTCACTGATCCATTTACACAACAGACAACTGCAGGTAGTCAGTTTACAAACTGACAAGTGAATCTTTGGTAGAAGGACTCGACACCATGAAAGAGACAGGAACCCTGAAGTTGTAAAAACGAACACGGTAAATGGAGCGTGGGTCATAGGTACCCCTAGCCACGGAAACTCTGGACTGAGTCATTAGAGGCTGCAAGCCCTCCGAGGCATTTTTCACTTACTTCTTTGGACTGTTACCCTCCTTGGGCACTCCTGTGGATCCAGAGCAGCCGGTTCCCAATCATCGGTATTTCGTTCCAACCAGGAGATGAGGGTTGGTTTGGGACCTGCGCACCCTGGGGAAGAAGAATCAGTCAGAGGCCCAGCTCGTACATAACGCTGGGTAGACTTATCTACCCGGTGGCATCTCCTGCCAAGCCCCTGTCCTCCCGCCCGACACAACCTCTTCGCAGGCCAGGACCATGGACACTCTGGACTCCCACCCCCAGTTCCTCCATCCCTTCAGGTCCCGCGGAAGCGGATTGGGGCGGGCCTTACCGAGCGCGCCCAGGTGGCCGTAGGTCTCCTGCATCACGTCCCGGTACAGGGCCCTCTGGGCGGGCCACAGACACTCCCACTCCTCCGGGGAGAAGTACACGGCCACGTCCCCGAACTTCACCGCCCTCGGCCTCCTTCCCCTTCTCCGGCCGGGTCCGGCCTCTCCTGGTCCCCGCGCGGGGAGCGGAGCCGAAGGCCGCGCCATTGGACCCGACAAGCCGGCGCCACGGCTGTCCCGGCCTTGGCCGCTGGGCGCTGGCGGGCGCCGGGACTTGGGAGCCCAAGCCGGATCCGGGCGGAGCGTGCCTGGGGAGACCAGGAGGGAACAGGAATCGGCCGCCGGCGGGGTTAACGGAAACCTTTCGCTGTTATTCAGGAAACTCCTGCCCGAACTTGGGTGAAAGGCACCGGAAGATGCCTTCAGGGAAAATGGCGGCCCCGCTACTGCACCGCCTTTGCCTGAAACACAAGCAGCTTCCAGCTATCGATTTTATTGACCGGAGCGCCATGCCGGCTCCCTAACCTTTTTGCCCTCAAGTGTGATGGCGCTGCGATTGGGCTTCACGCCCTTTTCCCCCCTATTCCACGCGGTCATTGGGCGGTGGCCTAAGATCGAGTATTCTGATTGGGTATTGCCAAAAGCGGCCTGTTTGAACGAAGCCAACGGAAGCGTAAGGGCAGAAAGTTGGACCCTCGATGTCGGGTGACTGCCCGGGAGTCTGGAGGCGGGAAGGGGCGACCCCGCCTGGGATCAGTAATGGTCCTCTGTTTCTTGGAGGCGCAGCCTAGCCGAGGGAGGGAAGGATTTGAGCGACGGAGCCACTCTGGCCAACCCGGGGCTGGAATATCCCTGGGTCTCCTTTCCTGGCTTTCTCAGAGGAGCCTTCTCTTGCGATAGTGGGTAACTCCCTCCTTGCCCTTTGGGGAAGGGAATTAACGTTAGCGTTTCCTGTGCGCAGGTACCATGCCCAACATATTACACGTTCAACGTATTTATTTTTTGCTACCATGTGTGAAATGATGATTATCATCCTGGTTCTACTGATGAGGAAAATCTCAGAGGGCACTTGCTAGTAAGGAGAAGAACAAAGATTTTGTCCAATTGAAGAAAACGTACAACCTAAAAGTTCCGAGCTGAGTTTTATTCCAGGAGCTTACTGAGGACTATCCTCTCAGCTCTGAGGAACTGCTCCAAAGAGGTAAGGGAGGAGCCAGGATATATAGCAGTTTTTGCTGGAAAAAAATATATATATATTTGAACATCAAAACATTATTGCTAATCACAAAAAAACAGACATTTCAAGTTAGTGATTTTAGGGCTTTTCTATATATGGGAAGATGCAAGAGTCTGGGCTTGTTGAAATTGTTCTTTAGATATGCAACTTAACTATCGAACAGTATCCAGGGCACAGAATGTTTCCTGTATCTTTCCATCTTGAATTTCCCTCAAGGCACACCTTGGTAGGGAGTAGGAGGGCCTGGTGGCTGCAGTGGCTGATAACTTGATGGCCGGCAGCATTTGTTGTTTACCAAATGGCAGGCAAGGTTCCCTTTCCACAGGGCCCCGCCTTTTTTTTTTTTTTTTTTTTTTGCCACGCCCAGCGGCTTGTGTGATCTCATTTCCCTGACCAAGGATCGAACCCAAGCCATTGCAGTGAAAGCCCGGAATCCTAACCACTAGGCCACCAGGGAGCTCCTGCACAGGGCCCCCTCTTGGTCATAAATTCGACCAAGGTTTGGGAGGCTTTTCATGGTCAATTTGTCATGGAATTCTTATTCCTAGGTCAGAGGAAGATTTCATTGGTCAGCCACCCAATGTGCTGCTTCTGTTTTTTTTTTTTTTAATTTTTTAAATTTTTATTTGGTTGTGCCAGTTGGGGCAGATGTGCTCCTTAGTTGCGGCTCACCGGCTCCTTAGTTGTGGCATGCGAACTCTTTGTTGCGACATGCATGTGGGACCTTAGTTCCCTGACCAGGGGTTGAACCCAGGCTCCCTGCATTGGGAACACGGAGTCTTAACCACTGTGCCACCAGGGAAGTCCCCCAATGTATTATTTTTGGATTGGGCCCTATTAATAACCTAAAATTCTCTGGATCGTGTGTTTTACTAGTCTATTCCTATAATCCAGGAAATGTTTTCCCTTGTTGCTTCTCCATATCTAGAGTCTCACTGTTAAAATTATTTTACATAGGGTTATGTGTATGATCAATTGCCTCAAGACATTTAGCCATCATTAATTTTGTTGGAGGCCTGATGATACATTAGGTAATGCAAGAGGTAACAATCTTATAAAATAGACAGGATATAAGTAATATAGCTAGTAACATTAATAAGGTCATAGTACAGCAGAGAGAGACACAAGGCATAAGCAATTGGAGAACAACATAAAGAGAACAAATTTCAATGATTAGTATAACTAGTTGTAACCTGGTCGCAAGAAGCCATCAAGTCCAGAGGGGAGCTAGCTAGAGAAGCCAAATTCTGGAGGGATCAGGCAGAGAGAAAAAGAGCAATGTTTCATCTTCATTTACAATACAGAGGTATACTTTATCAACTTTTTGTAGGTCATAGCATAAGAGGAAAGGTTTTCTGGAAAACAGAGATTAAAAGCCAGCCAGTAATATTTTAGACAAAAAGTCATAAAATTATAAATCATATTTATCAGTTCATTCAGTCCCATGTAATTCCTGTTAATCTGGAAGAAGCCATCAGGTTTCCTGTTAGAGTTTTGTGAATCTTAATGTAAACTATGGACTTTGAGTGATAATGATGAGTCAATGTAGGTTCATAGATTGTAACAAATGTGCCACTCTGGTATGGGTTGTTGATAGTGGGGGAGGCTGGGGGGAGGGCAGAGGAATATGGGAACTCTGTACATTCAGCTCAATTCTACTGTGAACTCTAAACTACTCTAAAACTAAAATCTATTAAAAAAATTCTAAATAATGATTCATGTTATAACACGGATGAACTTTAAAAACATGCCAAGTGAAATAAGCCGGATTAAAAAAGACCACATGTCTTATGATTCCATTTACATGAAATGTCCAGAAAAGGCAAATCTACAGAGAGATAAAGTAGATCAGTGGTTGCCAGGGGCTGGAGGAGAGGAGAATGGGGAGTGATGGCTGGGGAGTTTCTTTCTGGAGTGATGACAATGTGTTTAGTTGATTGTGGTGATGGTTTCATAACTCTAAATATACTAAAGAACACTGAATTTTACACTTTAAATGGGTGAATTACATGGTATGTGAATAACATGTCAATAAAGCCGTTTAAAAAAAAAACTATGCTGTAGTCATAGACACAGCAAGATGGTCATAGTAAATTATTAAAAAAAAAAAAAAAAGGCTTTCAAGAGGCACTCTAGGACAGTCCCTCCCCAAGCCTCAGCCCACTATCCCCTCTGTTCCCCTCAGCTCCAGGCATTTTGCCATGAGTAGTCCGCATCTGCAGTTCTAGCCCAAGAACTGGCTTACGTACATCGTGAATAGATGAATAAAGAGTGAGCAAAAATGGGCAAAGGGAGACCACTAAAGGGCCTCACGGAGCGCCCTCAGGTGGCCATAGGGTTCTAGTATCACTTTCGGTAAAGGGCCTTCTGCGCCTCGGATTTCACCACTTCTCCAAGAAGAAATACTCCGCCGCGCTCACAGCCTCCTCGGCTCGGATCCAGGCTCTGGGCTGCAGATGTGGAACGGGACTAGGGCGGCGCTTGAATTCTTCCAGTCCCCAGGTCCTAGATGCCCCAATCCAAGAGCTACTCTCTTTTCCGGACCAAGGAGACACTGCCCTGCTAGACCCGGTGTCTGAGCCAGCCCGGATTTGGCTTTGCGTGGGGCCAAGCTGCGGCCCAAACAGAGGAATCACAACGTCATGGGTCACTCTGGTACTCAGAGTGGACAATGGTACCGGAAAACGTCCTAAGAGAATATGGCGGCGACCTGCCTTCACAACCATCATTCAGATGCAGTCGGAAGCTGGTCATTCCCTCCCCCTAGGTGGTCTTATCAAATAAGAGCCAGCTCCGAATACTCAGCTCCAGCTCTTAAAATTCCTAACCCCTCATTGGTGCTTGCGGAGATTAGCTTGAGGAGGTGGCTGTTGACAGCGCCCGGTGACTGGACTGTTCCCATCACTGAAATAACTAAGTACGTGCTGATTGGCCTCTTGGGCCAGACTCTAGGACGCTGTTGCTAGGTAACGCCTGACAGGAGGCCGGGTTCGCAAGAACAGGATCAGGAGTCTCCGGAGGTTACCATGTAGCGAGCCCGCATTGGTCAGCGTCCTCTGGGCTATTCCACCTCAGCTCCTTCTGTTCTGCTGACCCACAAGGCCTCGGAGAGTGCGTCCTGGCCGCAAAATTAACTGGGTTCCTGTCCTGAGAGAAGCCAGTAGGGAGCTGAGCACCTTTGTGGAATTTCTACATTGCCCCAGGTGCACAACAACCTTCTTAGAATCATCTAACCTTGATCAACGCTCCATGTGAGGGTAGGGACTGTGGTCTCTATTTAAGAATAAGAACATTGAGATTCATTAAGATTTGTGCACTTTTGTGTATTATATTATCCTTTAAAAAAAAAAGTAATGTATATCTCAATATGTAAATGCTTGGGCAGGGCTTTGCCAAAGGATTTAGTGAAGCAATCATATGGAAATATGCTTGCACTACATATAGGATTTCTATGAACACAGCAGCTACAAACTCAGGCTGTCACAGATGGGTTGTGCTGCTGATTCAAATTCAAGTGTGGCCATCTGTGCAATGATTTTCCAAAATGGCAAATAATTCTTGGCAAAGTTCCAAACAAAACAAAATACAGTCTTTCCTCCATTTATACAGGCCTTTCTGGAAAAGTCAGGATTAAAACTGTACTTGTAAGTTTGTGCTTCTATATAAAATAAATATAGGTTCTGTACTCAGATAATTACAAACCTGTTTTCACCTACACGCATGTCCACGGGGCATTCTGAGCATGGTAGAGGACAAGGGACACTTTTTCACTGAGCAGGGCTGGCTGGTTTTGAGCAAGACAGCTGATACCCCTGGGCCCACCCATTATCCATAGATAAGGAAGGATCCCTTATCTATGTCGATTAGAAATTGTCCATTCTCCCGCTTTGGAAGGTAAGCTCCTTGAGGAGAGAAACTTTGCCTGTTTTTTTCCCCCATGGATTTGTCCTAAACTACAGGTACACAATAGACTCGGGACTGGCATGGGAAAACCATGAGAAGGAAGGACTCGGGTAACAGGATTTTAGGTCATATGCTAGCAACAGGAGTAAAGTGTAGTTGAATAGTCAACTAAAATATCTAGAAAAAAATAAGCTCTCGGCTCATCAACCATGTGAAAATGTTTAGCAGCCAATTAGATGTGCAGGCCTAGAGGAGGATTTCTCAATCGCAGCACTATTAATATTTTGAGTCAGAGAATTCTTGGTTGTGAGGCGCTGTCCTGTGCATGGTAGGATGTTTAGTGGAAGCATCCCTAGCCTCTACCCACTAGATGTCAGTAGCGCACACATAGCCCTCCCTGGACCTTCCGTTCCCCCCCACCCCCACCCCCATGCTGGACAACCAAAAAATGTCTCTATACATTGCCAAACACCCCCTGAGGGGTGGGGTAGTGGGGAGTCACCCCCCCAAGTGGGGAATCACTGGCCTAGAGGATATAATGACAGTTGGAACCAAGGAAAAGAGGTTGGATGCCTGAACCTTGGGAAAATGTTTTTTTTTTTTTAATTTATTTTATTTATTTTTGGCTGCATTGGGTGTTCGTTGCTGCGCATGGGCTTTCTTTAGTTGCGGTGAGCAGGGGCTACTCTTCGTTGTGGCGCACGGGCTTCTCATGGCGGTGGCTTCTCTTGCTGTGGAGCACGGGCTCTAGGCGCACGGGCCTCAGTAGTTGTGGCTCACAGGCTCTATAGCGCAGGCTCAGTAGCTGTGGCGAATGGGCCCAGCTGCTCTGCAGCATGTGGGATCTTCCTCGACCAGGGCTCAAACCCGTGTCCCCAGCATCGGCAGGCGGATTCTTAACCACTGCGCCATCAGGGAAGCCCCAACATATTTATTCTAAAAGGCATGCATTAGTTCTGAGAGGCTGACACCCAATTATTTGCAGCCTCCCGAGTTTTGTCCTCTGGTCCTTTGCACAGTTGGGATGACCCATGCACAGTCTCCCCACCGACCCCCTTTCCCTCAGTTCTTAGATGATTCATCACCTTCTCTGAGGTTTCTCTAGCTCTGCTTATGTGCACTT